TGGCAACGGCTGCAGCAAGCCAGCAGGAGACAAGGTCTGATATTTGTTCCTTTGGCAAATATCACATGATCTTACAAACATCATAATACGCTTCTGCATTCCTTTCCAGAAAACTCCACCAGCCAACCGCTTGTAGGTCCTGGTAAAACCCGAATGTCCCCCTGTAGGAGAAGAGTGGAACTCGTGCAGCAAGGTAGGAATAAGAGAAGAGGTAGAAGACAAGACCATCCTACCTTTGTAAAACAAAAGCTCCCCATGTAAAGAGTAACCAGAGGAGGCGTTCTGGCCAGATTGCAAGGCTGAAATAATGTTTTGCAACTCGGGATCAGTTTGGTATTCGCTCTTCACCACACTTAAATCTAGCCAATAGGGACTAGATACAATATGAGACAATTCCAATTCCACAGGCTCCATCATTCTAGATAAGGCATCCGCCGCTTTATTCTCCGGTCCCGGTTTGTACACGACTTCAAATTGGTACCCCATCAACTTAGATAACCAGCAGTGTTGGTCAGAAGTAGTAATTCGCTGAGAAAGCAAGTGACGCAGACTTTTATGATCTGTATATACTGTAAAAGAACGCCCCAAAAGATATGGACGCCAATGTTGAATGGCAAGTGCAAGAGCCATAGTTTCTTTCTCATAGACTGACTTAGAAAGATTCCTAGGAGCAAGAGCCTTGCTGAAATATGCAATTGGCTGTTTCTCCTGCATCAGTACAGCTCCTAGTCCAACCCCGGAAGCGTCACACTCGATGATAAACTCCTTGGTGAAATCTGGAAGTGCTAAGACAGGAGCTGTGGTAAGAAGCTCTTTCAATTTTGTGAAAGCTACTTTGGTTGCATCAGTCCAAACAAAGCCATCCTTCTTGGTCAACTCAGTGAGAGGTTGCGCAATCTTGCCATAGTCTTTGATGAAACGGCGATAATAGCCCGTTAATCCTAAAAACCCTCGAACTCCTTTGACATTAGCTGGTTGGGGCCAATCAATCACAGCTTGCACTTTGGAGGGATCCATGGCTACCCCTTCGAATGAGATGATGTGCCCCAAGTACTCAACAGAAATTTCTCCAAAACTGCATTTCTTTCTTTGAGCAACAAGATTATTTTCCTGCAGTAAAAATAAAACATCTGCCAAATGAAGTAAGTGATCTTCCCATGAAGGGCTATAGACGAGGATATCGTCAAAAAATACCAACACATAATGGCGAAGTTTCTCCCGAAAAATAGAGTTCATGGTGGCTTGAAACGTTGATGGGGCATTTGTCAAGCCAAAAGGCATTACGAGGTACTCGTAATGTCCATCATGCGTTCGGAATGCTGTCTTGGGAGTATCTTCGCTTCGAACTCGAATTTGGTGGAACCCAGATTTCAAATCAATCTTTGAAAAGTATTGTGAGCCATGTAATTCATCTAATAACTCAGTAATAGTAGGAATGGGATACTTATCTGGGATTGTAACCTTGTTGAGTGCTCTGTAGTCAACACACATACGCCAGGAGCCATCTTTTTTTTTAACTAGTATAACTGGACTAGAGAAAGGGCTGACACTGTGTGTGATCTCTCCAGCATGCAATAGCTCTCTCACCTGCCTTTCGATCTCATCCTTATGGTGATGAGCATATCGATAGGGTCTGACACTGACCGGACCGGTTCCTGGGAGAAGGTTTATGGCATGGTCGTGTAGTCGAACGGGAGGCAGCCCCTGTTTTTTTGTGAAAACGTCCTGGAACCGGGTGAGGGTGTGATTGAGGACACCTTGTTGCTCCTCTGTCAGATGCGAACCCAGTAAGACAACAGAGTCGTCAGGTTTCCCCTTGACGTCTGCTTCGATGCCGTGTAACAGCCCCTGTAGAGACATGGGTTGCATCTCTTTACGCATCTGATAACCCTTCAGCTTGACCCTCCTTCCCTGACAAGAGAACTGCATCGTTTTCTTCTTCCAATCCTGGCACACTTCTCCCAAGGTTTCCAGCCATTCGATTCCCAAAATTAAATCGATTCCACCCAACTCCAGTAGGTACGCCCCTATCGTCAGTTGATATTGACCCAACTGTAGATGGAGTTTTGTGCATCTCCCTTTCGACGTTCTTCTACTACCGTCGCCGAGACTGACAACAAACTCCTTGGTGCTATCAATCAGAAGATTCAACGAATTCACGAGCTCCGCAGTAATAAAATTGTGACTCGCGCCACTATCGATCAACACCAAGATCGGAAACCCCTCTAGTTCTCCTTCATCCTTCATCGTCTTCGCTTGAAGCGTCTCCGTCATCACATCTTCGTAGTTGACGTTGTTGCACACCAATTCCCAATCTTCAGTGTCGGTGCGCTCCTCTATTGTACTTAGGGGTTCTGGTTTCCCAACGACGTCGTCCTCTTCCCAAATGAGCAATCGAAGTTGCTTGTCTGGACACTGGTGGGTTGGGCTGTAGTTTTGTCCACATTTAAAGCATAATCCCTTGGCTCTACGGTCCATCATCTCCGGATAGGATAAGTTACGCATTCCACGTGGACTGGGCCCATTTTTCCTATCATCAGGCTTATTGGGCCTTGTTGGGTTTATACCTAAGGTTGGTTTGGCTGGGGCTCTCTCTCCCAAACCGGTCTGAACAGAAACCAGCCCTCGCTTAAAGTTGTGGCTATGGTTCGTTTGCGTCGTCTTTCCTCCTTGTATCTTACGCTCCACTGTTCTAGCCATGGAGATCAGTTTGTACCGGTCCTGTGGCTCTAGGGAAAGGACTTCAAGTCGGATTTCATCTCGAAGGCCGCCAATAAAAAGACCCATGTATTGTTCATCAGGCATGGGAGGGATCTGGGCTGAGAGCATCTCAAATGCTTCCACATATTCGTCCACCGTACCGCCCTGAAGCAGCCCCTTCAATTGGGCATAGGGGTTGCCAAAATGACCCTCTCCATATCGATCGAATAGTGCGTGCTTAAACCGCTCCCAATCTAATCGAGCATCTGATTCTTTGAGCACCTTGAACCAATGCCATGAGGGGCCCTCCATGCAAATTTGGGTATATTGGACGCGCATGGTTACCGGTATTCCTTGTACTGCGAAATAAGCCTCCGCTCTAGCAACCCATCCCACGGGATCGATTCCGGTGAATACTGGGAGCTCTATGCGTTTCGCTTTGATCAGGTAATCATCGTGTTGGATTTCGCTGTTGAGTACTGTTATCAGAGATCCGTCATCGATCCGAGTCGCTGCCTTCTCCTTCGACGTCACGCTGCCCTCTCCCAGAATCACGGTTGAGTTTTCCGTTGCTGGTTGATTGCGTTGAAACCCATTTTTGACTTCAGCGTGCAATGCTTGCAGGCTGTTCACAATTTCTGCAACGCTGGTGAATAATGAACCGAGCTTCACAGAGTGGTCTGCAAGTTGGTTGGAGTGAGACTTGGTTGTGAGGTCATGGGAACAAAGAAGTGCTTCCTGCGATTTCAACGAATTTTCCACCGCTGTCATTCTTGCGTCAAGAACATCTACACGTTGAGACGTCATTCTGGTGAGCATACACTACTGTTCTTCCTCTCCAAAGAAAATTAACCCTCTCAATGAAAGCACCAATTGATAGGATTTAAACTCTTCCTATCGAAACAAGAGGAATTAATCTGTATATTAATTGAAAAGAGACAAACGATTACAGAAATATTAAAAGAGCCAAAGCTCCCAGCTATGGAGATCTCCCCATTAGCCCTTCCTACTCTTGTAGAAACTGAATGAAAACATGAATACCCTTCTAAGGGAATCTTCAGACTATTATAGACAATGGAAATAACAAACTACTACTAATTCTCTCTGTTCCCTGCCCATGTAACCCACACGCATAACAACTTCGTAACCAACCATTACACGTCATCTATTCCCTCCCCTTTCTTTTTATTCCTCCTCTGATACACTAAAACTGGACCATTCCACTTCTTATGAATGCGTTGAGATTCTGTCTTTGCCTCCAGCCCATGAACAGCCTCCAGCCCATGATCCATTGTTGTGATCCTATCATATCAACTGACTCCTGATACTCAAACAAAGTATAGTTGCATTGTGGTAATGTTAAACTCCAACCCTGCCTATACCTAAAAAGTGTGCTTCATGTTCCCATAATTCCACTAATCTCATTTACATTCATTAACTTACCAAAGATTCAAATTGTGCAATGACATTCTTTGATACTTATTGTGTCTTTCAAGATATCTCCATGGGGAGATTCGAGTTGCTAAAGAAAGGAAATACATGCTTCCAACCTCTACGTCGTTGTTTTTGGTTTCTATGGATGTTGCTGTTTAGGAAGGTCAGTCTTTCTCTTGTCCTCAACTTTAGGGGGAGAATATTCCGGAAGTAGAGTCCTTCATTCCTTTGCTTGAGTCAGCTCATGAGTTTTCCTTTGTTTGCATCAACTCTTGAGTCTGTGATTAGCAGCTCTACCTGGTACTTTACCTGAACCAGCAAAAGTCAACCGACCAAAGGCAAGTACACCTAGATTGATATATCAACGGAGGGAAGATCCCAAATCGGTCCAATACCAACCTCCAATATAATCCTTTTGGTTTTGAGCCTAATACTTTAAATATTTCTTTGAATGATTTATTCCTGATCCTACTGATTTACTTATTGCCTTGAGGAAAAAGTAAAAGGTCTTGCACTCAATACTCAATTTATCGCTTTTTTTTTTTTAATCTTTACATGTTGCACAAGAGTTTCATTTTAGCCCTTGATTTTATCAGAATCCCAACATTAGTACAAGAAGCATCAAAGGATAAGAAATGGGTTCCAAGCCATGAATGAGATGTGTGCATTGGATAAAAATGAAACAATTGTTGATAAACCAAGAGAAAAGCATCAATAGGGTGCAGATGGATCTATACCTTGGATCTTTTCTGAATTTGGGGACTGCTATTTTTCTTGTGTTCATTACATTTGAACTTGCCTTTTGTAATATCTTGTTATTAGAAATTACAAATGAGTCCATTACGAGTGGTGATTGCTGAAAACAGGTACATTGCCAAAACATTATATGGTGCAGAGGAGGAGGATGATACACCTGAGCCAAGCTCTAGAATAGAGGAACCAAAGCTCCTAGGTGTTAACAGTGGTTCAAATGAAAAGGTTTGCTTAAGAGCCGGGCCTTGGTTATATGTTATAATGGAATGGTGTAATTTATTTTGTTTGGACTGCTAAATTTGTCTATCATTGGCATTTCTTTTCCCTCAGGTTCTTTTAAAAAGTGGTCCTTATGGATTCTATGTTCAGCTCGGAGAAGACAAGAAGGGATATGTACCTAAAAGAGCCTCTGTCTCTCATGTATGTAACATTGACTCGTTCAAGAGGCTTTTGTTTAGCTATTGATGTGAGGTATTCTATTAGTTTGTATCTGAGAAAAAAAGAAGTTTGTGTCTCCCATGTTTCTTGCAAACTTAGACGTAAACAAGGTTGATTCCCACCTATTATGCAGTGTTCTAATAGTGGGCAAGAAGCTTGTATGTTCTTGAAATAGTTCGAAGTTTATGAGACTTATGGGTGATTAGAGAGGTGATCTAGGCGCAAAACTACTGTTGGCGCTAGTATATAGTCTTGTTAGTGGGAAATGACTTGAAATACTTTTTTAGTTATAGCTGTGGAAGTTAGGTGGGATGAGGGCAAAGCGTTAGTTAGGGTTCAAATTGATAGGATGGTGAGGTTAGAATTTGATGGTAAACAATGTAGAAGATAATAAAAGGGTTTAATGTCTCTCATGTTGTAGGAGATAAAATTATCTTACGCAAATGTTTTCTTTTTCTCTCTTCTCTTTACATGGCCTCACATGGGCGTCATACACTTTTAGGTGTGTATAGGAGATAATTTTATCTCTTACAACATGAAATACATCAAACCCATAATAAAATAGTATAAGCGAAATAGAAGCATGTTAAAGGAATGTTCACAACACTGAACTAAATCACTACTGTACTGAATTGAAAATTGAAATAAAACAAATAAGAGAATAATTATTCTGAAATTGTAAAATGAATTAAAATGGACTTGATAACTAAAAGACTTGATTGAAGTTAATAAGGGCGTGCTCTGTAAAGGTGAAATATGGACGGGGTACTTGCCTTGTATCAATAAATTTACATTTTAGGGAGGGAGTGAAAAGTGAAGATGAGGCGAAAAATAGAGTTATATTATTTAAAATTCAAGCAAAATGATATTTTGCTTAGAAATGTTAAATATAAGGATGGAATGATATTTAGGGGAATGCCAAATTTTGACTCATCTGTATTTTCTAGTTATTTGGAGGTATCAAAACTACTTTCATTCTAATTCCTTTTACATCTTCTGTTGTAAGCTTCCACGGATGAAAATGAAAATGAAAATGATCTTTGTACAAAAATTTCTCTGTTTGTCTCAATTGCCGCTTGTGCTCTCTCCAAGCATAGTCTAAAGTAGGCTTTGCAGCAAAAAAATAATAATGAAAGTAAACTAGTTGGCAATGTTCATTTTATATAATATTGGCTGCACACCTTTGAATTCACAGTAACTTGGGATTCAAACCCAAGCTTCATGACATCTAAAAAAATTTAAAAAATGTATTACTGGTTGAATTTATGATGATACAGACCTGGGAATTTGCAGACCTTTATTTGTTGAAAGCATTCTCATTTCTCAAACTAATGAGGTCAAGGTTATAGTTCATAGTGATACTGAAAATCATATTTGACGCTATACACCTTTATATTCAAAGACTATGTTATATTGTGCCTATTTGTTTCCTTATTGCTTGAAATTCTTCTCTCTCTCTCTCTCTCTCTCTACTCTGTAAATGTGGCTAATGAGTGAGGTTGCTATACATGCTTTTGTGCAACCTCTGGTTGATGCCTTGGCTGTTTTCTGAGGATGATGATTTAAGAGCTAATTGTGCAAGTATGAACAATTATTATATCTTCTAATAAAAGGAAAGAAGTCACAGAATTTGGGTTGTTTCAGATCAAGGATGTGAACTCTATCACCCTTGAAGATGCACTTGAGATGTTACAATACCCTTTGACATTGGTACGTTTCTCAATTTTCAATCTGGGCTATACGTACTTATTACGTTGATTTTTCATGCCAAATTTTAACAAATAGATAAAATTGTTGGTATTTTTTTTGATTTCAAAGGCTTATTTTATGTTATTTTCAGTATATACCGTTGAATTACAAAACAATGTTGAATTATTGTGAGATTTTATGAACACGATACATACAATGCAAACTTTCAATCAAATGAAGGAATTCTTTAAAATATCCAACCTACAAAATGATATTCATTGCTGTAATATTGACTTCGATTTATACACCAATATTTACAAATCTTATCTCTCTCCCTTTGTGTATATTCTTTAGTCATTGTTGAATTTGTTAATGTTTACTTCTGGTTAGGGTAACCATCCCAAGGATGGACAGCCTGTCATATTAAAGCTTGCAAGGGTTGGGTTTTCTGTTAGACATCGACGCACAATTGCTTCTGTTCCGAAGGTATGATTACAGTTTCATGACTTTTTTTTTTTTTTTCGATTTTATTTTCTTCCCTTCTTTGCAAACACATCAAGAAAAGCAGCTAAATCAGTTAGTATCCTATAGGAACTAATTAACTAAAAGCATTAATACTAAGAAAAGGAAAAAGAAAAACTTATAAAATCCCTTTTTTATCTCCTGCCTTTCTGTATTCTTCGATGTGTAAAGGTTAAATCTTGTTTATGTTAGAAATGACATAAGTTGGTGGATACATATTTGTTACTTTTTTTTCTGGTTTTCTTTGAGAAATTAATTCTTTGGTATGGTCAGTGAGGGTGATAGACGATAGTAAAGTGCTTTTGTTTTCCTTTGTTGTTTTCTTCTTGTCCTTTACACTTGCAGTGATTTTTTTCCCCACTGGAGGGTGGGGGCTTGAGGTTGAGGATTTAAATTTCAAGTGACTGGCAATTTAGTAAATGAGTTTTGATGGATTGTCTCTGATCTGATATATTATTTTACTTAATCATATTGAAATAGCCTAACGTCTAATGTGTCAACTGCTTATAACTATTAATGTATGTTTTGCAAAATTAATTGCGTACTATTTTCATTACTTGTACCGTCTTAACTGGTATGTTCTTTGACGTGATGTGGGTTTCTTCTGTTTTTGGTTTTTGGTTTTTGGTTTTTTTTTTTTTTTTTTTTGAAATTGGTATTCAGAACATGAAGCCAAGTGATGTCACCCTGGAAAAAGCCCTTGAACTTTTATCAGGTGATAATGTGAGACGAAGTGGTCGGCCAAAAGGCAAACCTAATAGAGTTGAAGAAGAAGCTGTTGAAGCTTTTTAAGTTTTGACCTCGATAAACGGCATGAGTGCAGAGTTTTGTTATGATTGGCTACATTAATATCTTCCCTTTAACTACTAGCAATGTTCAACGATTGTCCAACCTAGAGTCTGCAACTCCCAGTACCAGACGAGCCCTGGAAGATTCTTTTACGGAGCCAAATGTAAATGAATTTTTCTGCATGTCTTCTATTTCGGGTAACTTACTGTCTATAATGTTTAGGCCAATCTGATATTTATTTTTTATAGAAATATAATTTATTCTATTTGACCAAATCCTGAACGCTGAGATTTTAATAGGCCTAGGGGTTTATATTCTTTGGTCGTCTTGTATAATTTAAAGCTGATCAAGGGAGTACAGCACATTCACATATAGCTGTTTAATTATGTACTGTTATATCTGTCTTGTACATTCCCCTCTCTCTCTCTCTTGTAAGTATTAGATCCTATTAGGCCTTAGGAGAGCACATCTCTTATTATATCATAGAGGGGAGTGAGTATTCTATTACAGGGTGTTGAGTCCGTTGTTTCGAACTTACGCTCGTGTAAGTAGAGTATGACGGTGTATCTCTCTCAAAATGTTGATATTAGATTGTCCTCTCGGCCATCACTTGTAAATTGGCGATATTTTAATTTTAAATCATAAATCCTAAACGCTTATTGGGTAAGATGTGGAATAATATTCCCATCTGTTATTGTTTTTCCTTTTTAGATGTGGAACAATATTTCGGTCTATCCATTATTTGAATATTTTGGAAAAACTAGTGATTAGAGGTTTTTTTTATGGAGAAAATGGGTACAAATGTTTCATTCTTGTTCTTTCAAAGGAATGCAACGAGTCTTTATCTCATTCGGGGTGATAGGGTATACTAGATGAAACGAATTGAATGGAGTTGCCAGATCTGGATAATTATAAGCCGTTCATTTTTTTGGTTCCTAATTTTAGTTGCATGTGTCAAAATTGGGTGGATTCATCCAACATTAAATCTAGCAACAGGGGAAAAAATGATATTAAATAGACTCAAAATTGTGGACGAGGATTGATTTTATTGGCATATGGTATTGTTTTATAAAAATTAAGGAGTTCGATTTTTCGTAAAACATCTTTATTTTTTTTTTTCTATCTCCTACCCTTATCGCCTTTAGCAAAACAGTGAAATCCAACGATTAACGAATACCAATTTCAGTATTATTATATCAAATTATTATATCCGAAAAACTTTTCAGGTTAAAATCTAGTGGCAAAGCATGTAATCATGGATGATCTATGAAAAACCAAAATTAATAATTAATTATTTGCTTTTATTTTTTCATTCATAGTAAATTATGAAATCATCTGCTGTATCCTAACAAGAAATCACGGTAAAATATTCACTAATTACCATCAGTACTCATATAATACAAGTAAATTCAAAGCTCAAGAAAAACATAATCAAATTTTTTCAGATATTTAGTGTGACTATTATATAATATAAATTTATATAATAATATTTTTTTAATGAGGTAGGATCCTTTGAGACCTCGTCTAAGAGCCTTTAGATCAAAAAAGATCAACGACTCTGAATTATAAGTATGTGATACCATTGATTTTTTTTATCTAATGGCTCATAGATAAGGTGTCAAATTTGAAATTTGATACTGGTGTCAAAAGATCTTACCTCTTTTTTAATATATTAAAATAATGTATAACTTAATTAAATTTAACTGAATGAGATTAGACCTGATAAATTAATTTATTAGGTTAATCCTTTCCCATATTTTTCTTTGAGTAAATATCCTTTTTGGTTGAAATCGTGGTCCCTAGCAAATAAAAAAAGCTATTCGAGGTCCTTAAAGTATTCAAAATAGAATCATTTAGTTGAAATCATGATGCTTCATAAATTCAAAAAAGATCTACATTAATTCTCAAAGAGATTTAAAATGGTCTATTTTAAATTTTTTAAAGACCAGAAATAGCTTTTTCATTTGTGAGGGATAGACTCGTAAAATTTCCTTGGCATCGAAAATGGTATTTTCTCTTTTTCTTTCCCAAACCCTCTCATTCCTCAACTGCATCACGTCCTCTTTTCGTGAAACCCTCGCCGGTTCCGATCATTTCGTCCCTCTCAGTTTTCATGCCCAATTCGATTCCGTTTTCCGCGACGTCGTGTACGTGGTTCTCACGGCTAGTGCACGGCGAAGAAGGAGGTTTTTTTTATTGTTCTGGCTCTGAACCCCCAATCCACCTATTCGACCATGGCTTCTGGTTCACCTCGGAACCACATCTTCTCTAATTTCATTCCCAGTTTCCGAACCCTAGGCGACGTCGTTCACCAAACCCAAAACAAAAAAACAAAAAAAAATGGTACCTTTTTTTTTCGGGGGTTTTGTCCCTTCTCTGAGGGGATTTTTAGCTTCTTGTTTTTGTAAGCATGAAATTGCAGAGCATCAATATTCTGTACAAATTGTGAAAAACCGTTATATATTCATATATGCTTATGGAATTGGGGATTCGGTTTGAATATAATATAGTTTCTGCTTGCTAAGCATTATTGTAACTTTTCCCCAAGGCTTAATTTTATGCTGCTGCTGCATGTCTCTTCTTAGTCCATGGATTGTTCAGGGATTATGTTAACATCGATATTTTGGTTCTGTGGTTTGATGTGGTTGCTCGATGTAATCAGAACCTTTAATTTGAACATATAAAGGTTGGACATATGTTTGAGAGACTGCAGAGTGAGTGACCTACAACCAACTTAGGATCCCAATTGGGGTGGGTCTCTTAAAAACAAAAAAAAATCAAATAATAATAATAATAATTGAGGGAGAGAGAAATTGTAGTTTAATAGTGCAGGCAAAGTAACTTGGATTCAATGAAGCAATTCCTAGAGAGTAGAGACCGTGTAACTTGAGTTAAAAGTTATTTTGCTGAGACTCTTCTGTTTTCGCAATCTAAATTGAAATAAGAAAACAAAATCAATTCACATTACCAAATTGAGGAATCAAGCATACTATTACATCGATTCACCTAAGTAATTTACACTTTACACATAAATTACATTGGATTACACAAATTGTCAAAAATTGTGAAGAAATGCGGCTATAAAATTGTAGTTGTCATGATGTGGTTGCTAAAATCTCCTAATATTACAGGCGCAATTGCAGTTGCTGCTATTTAGAACCATACTCATGAATCATGATTATTCCATTGAATATAGTTTCTATTTTTCTGAAGGGGATTTTGTTTTGACTTGTCAGATAGGGCTTGATGTGTTCCTTGAACTCTCCCCAGAATAATGTAGCGGAGAACTACCTCCATCCTGCAAAAATAAATATATTCATGCAACATTTATTTTAACTCGTTATAAATAAGAGTCGATCCTTTTATATTAAATTTTTTAGTCCTTGTAGTTTTTAATATTTTTAAAAAAATCACTCTTCATTACATCCCAACTAGCGAGAGTCGGGATGAGATATATGAAACCGTATCCTTACATATTTGTAAATATATTGTTTTCCAAATTCGAACGCATGACCTTTCTGTCACATCAGCAATTTTACCACTGTTCTAGACTCGCAATTCAGTGTTGTAGGAGGATTAGCAATTTTCTACAAACCAGGTTAAACATTAAGTGTGAGAACTTACCAGCTGAAGAGAAACTTGGCTCTGATTGGATGGGCTTGTGTAGCCACTAAACACAGAATACTGATCAGAACTTTCAGCAAGTGCTCTTAACTTGTCTAGTTCTGGTAGCACTTCTTTGCCAAGATCAGGTCTATCTTTCCTTCTTAATTCAGCACACTTGAGGCCTATCTTTGCAAGGCTCAAGGCCTCCTCTACTGGCCAATCATTCACATTTGGATCAAGCATATCACCAAATACTCCCTTCTCAATGGCTCTATCAACATGATGAGTCAAACCCATTGGTGGTCTTGCTGTCAATATTTGGAGGAAAATGATCCCAAGTGAGTATATATCAGATTTTACTCCTAACATTCCTGTCTGCTGATACTCAGGATCTATATAGCAGAAAGTTCCAGCAGCTGATGTCATGCAATATTGTGTCACAGTGTCAGCCACAGATGGTGGAACTAGCCTTGCCAAACCTACATCACTTATCTTTGCCACATAGTTTCTGTCAAGCAATATGTTAGCTGGTTTCAAATCCCTGTGAACTAGAGGCTCAGGTTTTGTCTGGTGGAGAAACAACAAGCCACTGCCTATTTCAGCTGCTATTTTGAACCTAAGTTGCCAAGGAATTGGAGGACTATTTCCTCTACAAAAAAGGCGATCATCTAAGCTTCCATTAGTCATGTGCTCATAAACAAGGCAACCATACTCTGGACAGGCTCCTAGAAGGAGAACCATGTTTGGATGCCTAATGCAACTCAATACCTCAACCTGTAATGGGCATACAAGCAAGTTAACTAAGCATACAAAGTGTTAGTTATATGTAATTGATCAAGTCTCACATCACTAAAATTAGAGAATACCAAGAGAGGTTTCTTATACAGATAAACCTTTGTGTATTGTGGTAGAAGATCACCTAAGAGAGTAGCCTAGACAATTAAGAGAGGTTGTAACTTATAACTAGGCTATTAGATGGCCTAGTTTAGTGAGAAAATTTTCAAGTTGAGGCTTTCAAAGGTTGTATTATGTTTTAGCTCATGTTAAATATTAACTTCTTTGTTGTGCTTGTATTTCCTTCTTTTGTGTGCTTGTTATGGGTCCATTTGCCTCCTATCACATATATTTTAGCCCTTTTCGCCCAGCTTGACTTGTGCACTTTCTGAAACCTGAAATTCTCTTTGAGACCAAATTTTTGATTCATAGTATAGATTTTTAGTGTTTTAAATTGTTGATAAATGGACTCTACATCATATCCAAATTCAAAATCTTAAAACATTGAATTTATGGATCATTTCACTTATATAATCTACTTAGTTCATTCCTATCTGACATGAGACTTAATTCCTTACCACTCATTGTAACGTAAATATTTAAGAGAGCTTTGTTTGTCTGCTTACCTCTCTTTGAAACTGTGACCTTCCTTGTGCTGCATCAGGACGTAGAACCTTAACTGCAACAGGTGTATGGTCAAGACGGCACTTATAAACTGGACCATAACCCCCTTCTCCAATCTTCAGGGACTCTGAAAAAAAATTTGTTGCAGCTTCAATCTTCTCAATTGAATACTTTCTATACCTCACATTTTTGCTTGTTAAAGCATCAACTGCTTTTCTTTTCTCCTCAGCTTCTCTAAATGCTTTCATTTCAGCATTAATTCTCTTCTGGGCTTCAAATTCTGCAATCCTCTTCTGTGCTTCAGCAGCCTCAATGGCTGCTCTTGATTTAGCCTTCTCCTTTTGTGCCATTGCCAATGCAGCTTCTTCAGCTTGCCTTGCCTCCTCCAATCTCCTTTCTTCCTCTAATTTCCAACGCTGAAGTTCCACAGCCTGTGATGCATAACATGTTATATTTTCTTGTGCTTTTTTAGATGTATAGTGGATACTATTATTTCATACCTTTTGTTGTGCTGTGAGTGCTTCTTTACATGCTGTGCTATACATTTCCATTGTTTGCTTGAGCTCCAACTTCAGTCTCCTCATTTCAGCCTCCACATCATCCTATAACATGAACATCCACAACGGAGTAGCAATCAGGAATCCAAAACTTTAAACTTATAAATAACATTCTAAGTAACTAAAATACTTAGTTATTTGATCATTGATATCTCTTCACTCCTTGCATGGTAAAAAGTTACGTACAAAATAAGTAATTGATTGTTAAAGTAGAATAAGTACTGTGCAAAAAGTAATTAAGGGACAATATACCTATTGCATGCAAAACAATATACAACACAAAAGATGTTATAATTAATGAATATCAAAATTTTTAGTCAGCTGACGACACAAAAAACTTGTCCTATAACTCAGGCACTAGTGTTGTACTATTCTGTTTGTGTCCCACAATATGCATCAAACGTTATATGTTTATCTTAAAAAAAAAACATCTTGAAAATCTTCCTTTCTATGAGAAAATGTATTTAAATTATGAAAATCCTCATTGCTAGCAAATGAAGATTCACATTGCCTGCTTGTCCTTACCATGGCCTGTGATGTTGTAGAAGATGATAACCCCTCACTATCATGTGAGAAAGATGAGAATTCAGGAGAGCTGAAATCCATAGACCTCCTTCCAAAATGCATTGATTCAAAGCTTTGATTTCCATCTGTGTCAGAGCTATATGATAGCCGAGGGTTGGAAAACGCAGCATCTGAGTTGTTATTATATGAGTAAGGGAATAACCGGTCTGTGCTTGGCCTTCCAGAGCTCACAAAAGTTATGTCAGTATCTGGCAAGGAAATTTCCCCATATGACTTGTCATTCACACCTCTCCTAGTGAATGGCGACCTGCTTCCAATCCCATTTAGTTTTTACATGATCAAGAAATGTTACTTAAACCATGCAAATTAAGAACAAGTTGATACACCAAGAACAAAAAAAATATATACAAGGAACAAATTTGGCATGTAGCATGCAATGTCACTGACCTGAAGGATTCTGTTCCATCATGTGATCTACGTGGAGCCTCGAAGGATCGCCTTTCATGTCCTAATGAAAACAACATTTCGTAGTACAGAATTAATTCAACTCAAAAGCTTAAACTGTCGAGTGAAGATTATGTTAATGGTTTTATATTTCTATAATATGCCATCTCACACTAGAGTTTATTGAACTTGAAGAGTGAACAATACATAAGTTCCCATCTACCTATGCTTGGAAATTCTACAATATTTAATTTTATTAAATAAATGAGGGATGTGAAGATCGAACTTGTAATTAGTTAGAATTAATTCAACTCAAAAATTTAAGCTATTAGGTGAAGGCTATATTAATGGTTTTATATAAGAAAATGCACACACAAAAACACATATATAGATGTAAATCTAACCTTTTATACTATTAGCCGTATTAGCCATTGCCACACGTGTGTCTGGTTGGTCTGACCTATAAGAGGCTTGACTAAGCTGGCTTTGTAGAGGGCAAAAGGCAGGAGCAGGACGAGAAGCAGATCTCATTGATTGAATCTTTCCTTTAGAAACAACATATACTGTACAGAAATCCGGTGCCCCTTTTGATACTGTTGCTGGAATATCTGCAACCTTGAATCTTCTGATGCCAAAAACTAACCTTAGTGAATGAAATACATATAGATACCCAAGCAAGAATTCAAAAAAATGTTTATTCTTAGTAGTATACACTCATGCAGCAAGCCACATGACCAACGTTCAAATTACAAGGTGAAGTGTTAAGCTTATTGTGCACATCATGTATGACATGAAAAAGTTTTAGCTTTTCTAGTAGAAAGCTTGATTATAGGCCAACTTTGCTTCATTTTATATGATTCTATTTAGCATTCAGTTCATTGTTAATGAGATCATTTATAAGTTGCACTTTACAATCTCTATGCTTCTAATAACATATTATTGAAACCTTAAATTTACTCATTTATTCACAATGGAAAGGTAGGAGTTAAGAAGCAAAATTTGCAAAATATTCGCGCACAACCATCTGATGACTTAGATAAAGAGGGCCTTACCTAAGAAAACCAGTTTTGTTTGAAGAGCCTATGACCAAATGCTCAACTGCTGATTGAGCAGCATATTCAGTTAAAGCTTTGGACACGTCTACATCTTCTAGTACAATGTCCGTACAGTGTATCTATGGACCAAAAACCAGGAAGAGATGATAAGATGCTAAAAAAATGTCAAGAATTCTAAATGAAAACCATTAAGTTATTTTGCTGAGGAAAAACAGACCAAAAGATGGGACTAATGCTAATTGAACTTGTCAGCATTTTTTTTTTTGTTTCCCTCCTTGTTTTTCTTCCAAGAAAAAGAAAACAATACTTACATCTTTCCGTGCACAGAAGACACGATATGGGCGGAAAATTTCTTTGGTTTTTTCATCAGGGTCTTTGCAAACATTTACACTCTCACCAATACCATTTATCCCTGCCCCTGCAACCAACAAAGTGAGTAAAACAATATAGTAGCTAGCCAATGCATGCTAACAAATGTTCTTTTTTTTTTCTTCCTCTTTTTTTTTTTAACTGTTAGGATTGCCTATACATTAACAACTCATAGCAATATAGCAGAGATGCACACATGATAAGAGGAGGCATGCATGCTCATATAATCATCACCAGTTTCATAAGGAACTTAACAGTATGCATGAGGTATATATAATACTCACTTGGGGTAAAAATAGAAGGTGATGAAGAAAGAGAAACTGGCTTGTGCTTGACATGGATGAGAGCTACTTTTGAACCTTTTGTGAGAAGATGATCAATGGCCCATTTGAGTGCATTTTGGCTTCCCTTGTCTGTGTCTATTGCCACTGCCACTATTCCATGCACACCATCCTTCTTCTCACACTGATTCTTTTGCAACCACATTCCTCTCCTTTCCTTTTTTTTTCCTTTCAAACCCTTCTTTCAATCTTCAAGCTTTTTCTTCTCTTTCAATGAAAAGAAACCAAACCAAACCAAACAAAAACAACCCCAGAAACCAAAAGTCCTATCCTCTCAAATATTGTCCCTCCCTCAACGCCGAGAGACAAAAGGACTTTTGATGCATTTAATTTTGTGTACTTTGTTGTTCTTTTTTTCAGTTTCTTTTTGGTACGTACGTGTTTGAAACAATGAAACAACAAAAAGGACTTTTTGATGTGTTTAATTTATGTACTTTGTTCTTGTTAGTTTCTTTTGGTGTTTGAAACAACGAACAACAAAAAGAAAATAGGAAATAACCAGGTTGGTTTCCTCTAACTAGAATTAGCAGCCATTTTTTGGGTTCAATTTGACTTGTTTGAGCTTTTCACGGACGTAATGACCACACAGATTGTGCTCTCTCATCTCTCTCTCTCTCTCCCTCCATCTGAGAATAACCAAATTTTGCGGTTTACCTTTGACTCCGTTCCTCTTGGAAAACGGAATGTGGCATCCATAGCCTTTTCATGCATCCATTTACTTATGCATGCATGCAATATCAAAGGATAATTAGAAATCGTGCACGTGTGCAATCCCACTTGTTTATAAAATATCATCCAAATTGTTGATGGAGAAAAATAAAATGCATTCTTTTTTAACCTTATACATTTTTATTTATGTTTAATTAACGGTTCTAATTTATTAAATATATGAGTCATTAAACGCAAACAGATCAACAATTGCTTACACTGATCTAAATTGATCATCCTTTTTATAAACAAATTTAATTTTTGATAAATATCAATAAGTATCCGAAGTACTAATGGATCTCACTAATTCATTTTAGGGTTTGTGCCGCTTAACTTTCCCTATGAATAGGGTCTCTCAGGATTTGAATTTACTATTTTTTTTGGCAGGTTAAATACTAAAATTTAAGCATTGATCCAATCGTATGAGGTTTTGGTAAGGTTATAGGTTAAAAAATAAAAGGCAATTAAAGTTGCACGATCATAAAAATAAGTTATCTTATTATTGCACTTATTCTCTCATTCACGTATGTTATTTATCTCCTTATCTTTACATTAATATTTAAAAATGACAAACGCACATATCATTTTCCTCAGATTTTAATTCGAATTAGAAAGATCCCTTCTACACTATTAAAAGTGAGGAGTTATGATAGTAAAAATAAGAAGTGTCCACACTACTAGAAAATGTTTTTTTTTCGACGGAAAAATTCCGTAAAAAAAGGTTAAAATTCCGTCGAAAATGATGTTTTCGACGGAATTTTCGACGGAAATGAAGCCATCGAATATATCTTCGTGGGTAACAATTTTTTTGACGGAATTACAGATTCCGTCGAAAAATTTCGACGGAATAATTTCTGTGGGAAGTTTCGACGGAAAAATAATTTCGTCAAAAATTTTCGACGGAAAATGAATGAAATTCCGTCGAAAAATCTTGTCTCAATTTGTGACGGAAAATAAATTCCGTCAAAAAATTTCGACGGAAATGAATGAAATTCCATCGAAAATTGTTGTAATGGTTTTCGACGGAAAACTGATTCCGTCAAAAAATTTTGACGAAAAATCAAAAAAATTCTGTCGAAAATTGTTTTAATGGTTTTCGACGGAAAACTGATTCCGTCAAAAAATTTCGACGAAAAATTAATGAAATTCCATCAAAAAATTGTTAACAAAGTTTTCGACGGAAAATAAATTCCGTCGAAAATTTTCAATGGAAAAACAATAAAATTCCGTCGAAAATAGTTGAAAATGTTTTTGACGGAAAATAAATTCCGCCGAAAACTTCACAAATTTAATTTGTTTATTTATTTATTTTTATATAATGGTTTTCGACGGAAATAGAATTCCGTCGAAAAATTCATAAATATAATTTGTTTTTTAATTTTTTTTATTTAATGGTTTTCGACGGAAATAGAATTCCGTCGAATAATTCATAAATATAATTTTTTTTCTTAATTTTTATATAATAGTTTTCGACGGAAAATGAATTCCGTCGAAAACTGATAAATATAATTTCTTTTTTCTTTATTTTTATGTAATGGTTTTCGACGGAAATAGGATTCCGTCAAAAAATTCATAAATATAATTTGTTTTTTAATTTTTTATTTAATGGTTTTCGACGGAAATAGAATTTCGTCAAAAAATTCATAAATCTAATTTCTTTTTTCTTTATTTTTGTGTAATAGTTTTCGACGGAAATATAATTCCGTCAAAAAATTCATAAATATTATTTGTTTTTTAATTTTTTTTATTTAATGGTTTTCGACGGAAATAGAATTCCATCGAAAAATTCATAAATTTAATTTCCTTTTTCTTTATTTTTATATAATGGTTTTCGACGGAAAATGAATTCCGTCGAAAACTCATAAATATAATTTCTTTTTGAATTAGTTTTATATAATAGTTTTCGACGGAAATTCAATTCCGTCGAAAATTCATAAATATAATTCTTTTTTAATTTATTTTTATATAATTGTTTTTGATGGAAAATGAACTCCGTTGAAAATTCATAAATATAATTTTTTTTTGATTTATTTTATATAATGATTTTCGACGGAAATCGAATTCCGTAGAAAATTCATAAATATAATTTCTTTTTTATTTATTTAATATAATTATTTCGACGGAATTGATTTTCCCTCGAAAATGTTCGACGGAAAATAAATTCCGTCGAAAATTTAGACTTTTCTAGTAGTGCCAATTCATGGTATTTGAGAAATGTGAGCTTTATATCAGCCCAATAAATAATCTTGGATTGTTTCGCAATCCACGGACTCTCTGCATAAAAGAAAAACTAGGAATAAATGCCAGAAAAAATTAGTCAGGGTTTAAAGAGGAATTTAAAGATGAAATAAAGTAATAAAGAGACATCTCATACATCTAAAAATCAAGGATTTAGATTCTCTCATATGAAAAACTGATCATATTATTTAATCATAATCACTCATTGATGATGAGATAAGAGAGAAAAAAAATATATTATTTTTAAAAAATAATTCTGATCAAATAATATGACTACATGACCGATCCAAATCCAAAAATTAATAAGAGCAACCCACTGTTGCAAAAATAAGTTATTATTTCTGTCAAGTATTTTTCTATAAGAAATAAAAGTGAGTTTAGATAACGTGATAACTTGAAGCAAAAATATCAAGCAATGAGACCCACCAAGATTCTTACCTAGTGACTTTATAAAAATTAAAATATGTAGAATTGCATGTGAGGTTTCCTAACCTAGTGTAAGCCACACAACCCTGAAAAAAGTTGTAGCTAGACTTTCTCAAATAGAGTCAATCTACCCACAACAGAAACACCTTTTACATACAAAAAGCTCACAATATTTTCTTTATTTTTAAATGCAAATGATAGCTTGAAATAACATATATATGAAGTCTAAATGTTTAACAGATTCTTAAATTCCATCAATGCAAAAAGTAGTTAGTTCATACATATGGTTGCAAACTTAATGTGGTATATTCTCTAAGAGCTTTCATCTATGTTGACCTTTTCTACACAACTTGGGTGAAGGTCATAGTCACAAACATCACAAGAGAAAGCCCAAAACTTCCCCTGCTTTTTACAGGAATCACATACATATGCTTTGGCCATATCCAATTTCAGTGCATGCTCATGCTTCACATCCTCAACCTGTTGGGGCAAAGCCTCTCCTTCCTTTTTCAAAGCTGCTTCAAGGTCCCTTATCCGCGCTTCGGTAAAGGGGAAAGCTTCCGCACCATATGAAGATACCATAAACTTTCCATTCATAGTAATGACTTTACCATCTGATCCAATGAGGACTAAAGATGGTATTCCTTTGATATCAAAGATTCTACAAAGGTCATGCCTTGTTCTGTCCTCATATGGGATGGCAAGCCATGGCATACTACTTATGTTGACACTGAATTCCTTAAGGTCTCTATCAGTGGAGATCAAAACAATCTCAAAGCAGTGGTTTTTTGCAGCTTTGAGATTGTTGTATGCATCTTCAAGTTGGAGAGTGAAGGCGCGGCAGGGAGGAGACCAGTAAGCACAAAAATAGAGGCCTATTGTTTTACCTGCAAGTTCAGACACATGTACCTGCAAAAATAATATGTCATCTATGTGCTAACTATTACATAGTAAAAAACAGCTCCAATTCGAGTCCTGAGAATGGAAAAAATGGTATTGAGATCAGACAGTGCTTGAACTGGATTAAACTTGGATCAACATCAACAACACCTTTTTCCCGAACTAGTTGGATGTATACCAAAAAAAGAAAACAGCTCCAGAAAGGACATTATTAGGCTACCTTTCTATCATCTCCAGAGATTAGAAAGTTTCGTCCTTCATGTGTCAATAATTCTTCCAAATTTGATTCTTCATGCTTCCTTTTATCTATGGCTTTCAATTCCTCACGTCTCTTTCTTGTGAAAGGAAATGCATCAGCACCATAATCCTCAATGTACCCAATCAAGTCTTCTTCTTCAACCGTTATGCCATCTGAACATAATGGAATGAAGGATGGGATTCGATCAACTCCATATCTATCAATCAATCTTCTGTGCAAATTTGCATCAAATGGGACAGCTAGCCATGGCATACTCTTGAAGTGTTCTTTAAATCCATTCTCATCATGATCAAAGGAGATAAAGATGATCTCTAGACTCTTGTCCCTCTTTCTCAGTGTGTCATAAAGTTCAACCAGATGGGGAATGAATGCTCTACAAGGCCTGCACCAGTTTGCAGAGAAAAATAGGCAGATGGTTTTTCCATTGCATTCTGACAAGGGTACCTAATCTCATTATTCAAAAAATGGCATTATATTAGCTACAATAACCATGATCACAAACTAAGCAAAATGAGGCCTATTGTTAAAAAAGAGATGAAACTTCCCATGTTTGAAAATAAAACTACTACTGCTAATTAATCTAAAGTTGATTTAGATAACCAGAAGTCTATTGTCTTCTCACACACACACACACACACACACCTACCTTCCCTTCACAAGACAGAAGGAACTCAACACCTTCAGCTGCAAAGATCTCAATAATTTTATCCGTGTCAATAATATATTTGGCTTCAAAATCTAGCCCTTCCATCAGAACTTAAGAAAGTAACAGATGTTCTCCACTCTCCTCCCTTCTCCCTTATAAGTTTATTGAAACCTGTTTAATCAAGAGAAGAACATGATTCTTGAAAATAACATCCAAAATGGAATCCATAATATTGGATGGGCACACAGACTTGTAGGCAAAAGAAATTCAGATTCTGGGCAAGGGCATCAAAAGTTCCCTGAAGCCCTTCTCCAACTAGGATTGGAATGAAGAAATCAAGTAGCTATTTGAACCAACTAACCACACTAGTACAACAGCAATTCCTCAAGTGGGAAGTGGATTGAATAAGACTAAACAGAGAAAACAAGAATTGACAAACAAGCATGAGAAACAAATATGGGGATATTCTCCAGAAGAATGCTTTTCAGTCTTTACATATGGCTAAAGGGTTGCTTAGACACCTTCCTAAATGGAAGGGTATTATCCCATTCTCTAAACAACATCACTCCATTTGGGTTCCTCTATCTCATCATGTGCAAAATAATGGTTTTGATTAATGATTTAACTATACCACAGTATGTAGATAGGCAAATATTCAATCCCTTCAAAAACAAAAAATAGAAAGATAGAAAAAGATAAAGCTTGAAGAACAAAAGCACCTAATAACATAATTTTTGCATAGAAGTTTTAAGAGCTATTAATTCATCAACAGCATAGATCCCATGCACCAAATAATCAAATTTAAGGAAAATTATTGAAAGGTTATATTACAAAAGCAATGTAAGTGCATGCTGTACTTCAATAAGAAAAGAGCAAGTACCTTGCAGCAGCAGAAGACAAGAAGAAGAAATAGAGAAGGGCAAAGAGCTTTTGCTTTAATATAATTGGAAGGTATCAGTGGCTCACGCAAACTCAACCGACATCAATCTTGTCTTAGTATGGATATTGTAATTTTTTTATAGAAAATATGTAGCATGAGATTTATAAACATTAAATATACGAGTTTTGTGTCTATAACATATATTTTTTGGAATTTATTTATCTTATGTTCTATCAGATAGTTATTTCATGCAACACAGACAAGATAGAGAGTTCACTATTTATTTATTTTTTAAAAAAAATTATGGACCCACTGCTTTATCTTTAATACATGAATTTTCATATTTTTTATAGTAATTTGTGGATACGGTAGTTGAGTAAATTTATTAGGTGCCTCGCCACTATTAAAGTTGAAAGAAAAGGGTGGATATTAATATTTATTGTACTTCTTTATGATTAATCTGGCATGTATCTCATTCATTACATTTATTATTATTTTTTTGTAGACTCGTAACATTTATTTTATCCTTACCGTTAATGTAACATGAGTGTTATTTATTTTCCTATTAATAAAAAGGTAAATACAAGATTTCTGTTTACCAAAAAAATAAAATACAAGATTTCTTCAAAATCGAATATGACATATTTGCTTTGGTCATAGATTTAAACTAGTATATTACCCGTGCGATGCACGGGGAAAAAAGATCAAAATTTTTGTCGTCGACCGTGATTGATTAATCGCACTACAAATTTTATACTTACAAAAATCTGTGTTGCTATTTTATTCTATATTTCAGGTGAAAAAAATTACATCATTGACACAGAACTTTGCAAATATCAACCACAAAAAAAAATATGCTATTTAGAGAGATAATTAATTTTGCATACAACTACATCATAATACACCATAATACTTTATAATACACCATGTTAACATGAGGAAGGGATATAAAAAAATGCATACAAATCATTGCTAACTATAACATTCATCAACAAAATCAAGGTAACAATAACACCAAGCAAATATGAATTTAAAAGATCAGCTTTTACCTATAATATAAAAACGCAATTCATTCAGTATCATTTCGTAGCAATCATTGGAGGGATGAGTTCAACACTTACTAAATATTTCATTTACTACAATCAGGTTTATAAAATAAAAATAAATAATTATTTTTTTGCAAGGATTAATGTCGTTAGTCATTGAAATTTCACAAATTTATATTTACAAAAATTGAAATCAGATTTAGTAATTTAATTATAAAAGAAGAAGGATAAAATTTCAATTAAATTATAAAATGATATTGGCGGGTCGGCCCTCCGGGCCGAGCCTAGTTTTCCACCTCTAACTGTCAGCATTTTATATAAATAATTTTTTTTGCAAGGATTAGTATCGTTAGTCTTTGGAATTTCACAAATTTGTATTTCCAAAATTTGAAATCAGATTTAGTAATTTAATTATAAAAGAAGAAGGATAAAATTTCAATTGAATTATAAATATATATTGGCGGGTCAGCCCGGCCTCTAACTGTCAGCATTTTATATAAATAAATTTTTGTGACAGATGGTCTCCAAATTAAGCTTTTAATTATATTGGACAATTTCCAAAACCATTATTCCTCAAATTAAGCAACGGTTTGATGACAGATGGTCCCCAAATTAAGCTTTTAATTATACTGGACGATTTCCAAAACCATTATTCCTCAAATTAAGCAACAGTCATTAAACCTGAGAACTAATTAATTTCTACGTTGAGTAAACAGTAGATTAGATGCAGCGTTTTGATGATAGATGGTCCCCAATACACCATCGTTCCAAATTCAAATTTAAATTCAAAAAATGACAATGTAGAAAGAAAAGAAACAGAAAGAAATAACCTGTTAAGATTTGTTGACATATAAATTTCCAAAACGATATGCTATCAGTTGTTAGTATGTGTTTTTTGAATTATTCAATGAGTCGGATTATAATTTTTGTTTACTTAGTCTTTGTTTGAGTAAAATCGAACTTGTAAAATTAAACTTTTAAAAGACGAACCAAAACATAATCAAAGATTGGATTAATCATTTGATTATTAACATTTATTGCACAACATGTAACACTACAATTTTTGCTTTTAATACTAATTAACGTCGTTATTGATACTGGAAGATATAACTAATTTTTCAGCAGAGTACTATTTTTTTTCGCTAGAAGTTTTGAATCAATGTTAAAAAAAAAACAGTAGGAGAGTACTGGGATGAAAATTCTGTTGTGGACATGTACTTCTCCCTTTTTAAGTTTAGCTATAATCCTCAAAATGACAACACAAGATACCATTAAGGTTTCATTGAAGCCCAACATAATGATGCAACATATCACATTGGAAGTTCACCACAAGCAACATACTTCATTCTTATAACAGTTTACCTCCAGCACAATATCTATCAAAAAAAACTCCTAGTTCTTCTTTCTATTGTGTGGCGGTTCACATACATCCAGAGGGCAATTTATCTACTAAGTCAGCCATATTACAAAATATCTCCTAATCATATAGCCACATATATCACAACTACACAAATTCATCAAAATAAAACATATTTTTCAAAATACAACATGCTTCAAATTATACTTCATGTGATAGTTCCCACAAGTGCACAACATCCATAACCACATAACAGCCCTATTCTTGCCCATTGCATCCTTCAATGGCCTCTCCTTTGTCATTTTTCTCTCCTGCTATAGCAGCCCTAAAAAGGGTGAGATTTTTAATGTCAATAACCCATGGAATTCTTGAGGTCTTTCCCTCATCAACTCGGATTCTTCTCTGCCTAAGTGCCTAAGAAAATATTGGCAACATATGAACAGAAGAAAAGATATAAAGCTTCCCTAATGACATTATAACAGTTAATAAACAAACATATATGCATCATTCTCTTCTCATTACACCTCCATGAGCCTCTCTTGCTCAAAGTAGGACATCTCTTAAGAGGTGTTCCTCATCTCTTTACCTGGCGAAGGACGTATAAGTACTTTGCGCAGCATATCTTCATTCTCTTAGCTGATCTTATACTTTTCTCATATCAGCTTTTAGAGATGCACACCTGGCAGCCAATCTCAAAGCATAGCAATCAACTATTATTGCTACATCAGTCATTTCTACATTAGGAGACATACATTCACTGTTAATGCCTTAATAGGTACCAATCACATATTTTTATATGCAGAAATTAAGAATAAACAAAGGTCATTACCATATCAACAATTCACCATATTCATACATGTATGTAATAAGTACTGGAAAAAAAAAACACTTCATCAAGAACATTTCATTTCTATGCAACAACTCTTCCACGGTTTCAAAGGCTCTCTCTATAGCCTTCTTTCAGACCCACTCCAGTTTTATGATTCCAAGATTGAATACCCAACCTACAGCCTATTCTTGCACTTAAGTTAAAGAGGTTCTAGTTTTCCTTCAAAAGAAAAAGAAGCGGAGTTCAACAGCGTTCATCAATATACCAAATTAGATAGGAAATGTACATCACATTTTATCATCAATATACCTATTAAAAAAAAAAATCGAATAAAAAACATAATACAGAAGTAAAAAATAAAAAATGTTTCTTTAAAAAAAACATACCCCTAAAACATTTTATCCTTCCCAGTTGAACTATTATGATGTTATGAGGAGTGTCGTTGTTTGCCAAAAAAGATTGCATCTCATCCACATAATGCTCCCACAAAGTGCACTTCAGCTTGTGACCTCTATATATGAGTTGCAGCAAGTAAAACATTATACACGAAATATATAATATATAAGGTAATAGACGACAACAATTTTTTTTTTACTCTAACATTTTAAATACCTCAGGTTGTCAAGCTCCAACAACACCATTTTTGTCTTCCTACCAGACACCACACTTTCACAAACTTCACCAATTCCTGAGATTAAACCAATGACGTCTACAAAAAAAAAAGGGCAGCAAAGAGTTTGTAAAAAAAATGGAAAAATAAAAGAATGAGAAACAGTGAGGAAAAATATATTACCCACTCCAATGAGTAAAGATTTACCTCTTGTGCTGTCGAACCACCCTTAGCGCCTTATAGGTCCAGTGGTCCTTCTGTACAGAAAATATTCATACATTGAAAATCAATGCATAGAGATCATAACACAGATACAAAATGGATAAGTTCTCCATAGTATAAAGGGAATCAGCTGGTATTTCAGAATGTGAAACTACACCAATAATAGATAGGCATAAAACACTGCCCTTAAGGTAACAACATCATGATAATTCATGACTAATACTGCAATGAAAAAGTAAAGAACTAAATGTATGTTATCGATTTGAAGGCCATGCTGATGTTGTGCTACATATCCCTGGAGACTTGTGAATTGCACTGCCACTGCCTTCAGAAACAGAGGAACAGGAAACAGTAGTAGATTGTTTATTCTCCATACAACACTCCTCTGATTTCACCTCAGCCATATCCTTCAAAACCATCACCAAAACCCAAAATCCTAATCAACAAACCATTGAATATATCTTAAACACAAAAAACAAAAAAAGAAAAGAAAAATTCTCCAGGACCCATCACAGAATAACCATCTAAAACCCTAAAAACCTAGCTCACGTTGCAAAATTTCCAAACTTTCGCAGGGAAACACAAATATAAACATAACCCAGATCTTAAAATCCACTATCAGATAAAAAAATACCGAACCCATCTTTGTCTCCACACCCGAATCGATTCAAATTCAATAGTAACTGATATTAAGCTACTTAAAAAAAAGTACGACAACAGCAACAAAATCGCAACGGAGAAAAAAAAAATTAAAAACGAAGACGAAAAGCAGCAACAAAATAAAAAACGACGAATGATATGAAATGTGGGAAAAAAACAACGACTAAGAACGACGAATGCCAAAAAAATGACGAACAACAGCTCGGAAAAACGCTAAGAACACGAAGAACAGGAGAAAGAAGAAGATGTGAGCAATCTGGAGGAACCACTAAAAAAAATGAGAAGGTGTGTAGGTTTTGTTAAACGTTTAACATTCCAAGGGAGAAAGTAGGTGAAGATTAATTAAGTTGTCAGTTTTTAAATTTTGAAAATAAGATGAGCTGTGTGTTAATTTTTAAAATTTGAAAATAAGATGAGTTGCGTCCCAATAAAGATGAGAACAGATCTGCACCATTGATTTTGGACAGCAAATCGTGGCCATCAATTTTGAGTCCAGATTATAATTTCTTTTTGAATTTTTTTATTCCCTGAATTACCCAAAAAGGAAACTTTTTGAATTGTGGAGTGTGAAAGCAAACACGTGTCAGAAGGAGAAGCAGCCACGTGTCAGAAGTTGCCAAAGAATGGCTTTGTCTTAGAATATAAGATTCTAGTCAAAGTAAATTTTTGAAAAATATTTAAAGGTCAGAGAACATGCCTCTTTTTTTGAGAAAAAATTAGTCTTATTTTTCTTCCAATAACAAAGTTTAATGTATCTATTGTTCCAACAAGGAGGTGGTCAGAGAGGATACCTCCATATTCATAAAAAAAAAAAAATTATATAGGCTTAGGGAAAAAAATAAAGCCTACATAACACATCTATTTTGAAAAGCCTATATATCAACCTCGTTGAATATTTAGTATCATATAACGGTGTTTTTGTTATTTAAAATTGATATATAATATTTTGGTCAAAAATTTTAATTTGTAGAGAAAGATTTATTTTTCATTCTAATTTAAAAATATTTTGAAGAGATTAATTGGTAGTTATAGGCAATGTTATTAGGGAGAGATTATATTTACTACCTCTTTTTCTTACTACCTCTTACTACCAAATTTTAATCGTTGATTTTTGTCAATCTAACAGTTATAATTTATTAGAAATTAATAATTAATTAATAAGTATGATCCAATAAATTACAACTGTTAGATTGACGAAAATCAACGGTTAAGATTTAGTAGTAAGGAGTAGTAAGAAAAAGAAATAGTAACTATAACTTCTCCCATGTTATTAAACCTAAACCAGTCATCGACTCGATAGGGGTATCAGGTCACTGATTCAACTAGCGGATCACTGGTTAAACTACTTAAATCGAATTTATTTAAAGATATAATAAATATATAAGGAAAAAATGTTTCTGCAGTTAATGCAGATAAGTTATCTGCATTTATTCCCAAAACGACGTCGTATTGGTATTAAAATCTTAAAAAATTATAAATATAAAGACTATTATAACCTTGAAGTAAATTAAAATTACAAAAACACCATGATTTCCGCCCCAAAACGACGTCGTATTGGCTTACTACAAATAACTTATCTGCAGTAACTGCAGTGCAGTAACTGCAGTGCCGTAACTGCAGAAAAAAACGAACCCAATATATAAATAAAAATTATATAATAACTAAAATAAAGGGGTTTGATTTTCTCATGTTGCATGAGAATTCAATTCTCATGTTGTGACTCAACTAGTGGTGGGACCCACATTTATTAAAAAAAGAAAATAAAAGTTTTGCACGCAAATCAAAGGGTCACAACATGAGAATTGAATTCTCATGCAACATGAGAAAATGTTTTTCCTAAAATAAATTGAGTTAGTGGTTAACTTGTCACTCCCCACTAGGTGATAGGTTCGAATCCCAAAAGTATAACTGTGATGAATCATTTTGCAACAATTTTTAAAAAGCAGTTCAACCAAAAAATTGATATCAATTTAGCATCGGTTGAACTCATTTTTTGACCGATTCATCGGTTCTTTTCCGAATTGCATGTAAGATCGGTTAATTAATTGAACCAGATCGCTTAGAGGTCCTGGTCCCGATTCAACTGGCCCGGTCGGGCCAATTTTAATAATACTGGTTATATGAGTTGTTCTTATTAATTCTTGTGTTATAATTTCTTAACCCATTCATGTTTGATATATTGCAATTGATATTGTAGCAGGTCTGAGGCCAAACCAAGTCTTTTAATTTTAAAATATATGCTATGTTAAACCTATAATTTAGCATCTAATAGACTAACAAACAAGATTATGCTCGAAAATTTTTATACAAATTTAATCTATTTAAGTTAAATCTGAGCCCAACCCTCTTCATTTACACACTTGTCTTAGCATTTTTTTTTCTTTTTCATATTTGATTTTCTTATTCGTTTTGATTTTTTTTTTTATTTCTGTCATGATCTGCACCTACATTTTCATTTAGCACCGAACACCAGTGAGCAAATACAAAATCATTTAATTAATTATTAACTTTAAGTTTCTCATAATAAAAAATTTGTATAAATTAAAATCATATATGTAAAATATAATATTATAATATTATTAATTAAAATAATAAATTCCTAAAACATGAATCGCGGTTCTTACCTTCTTTGAAATTTTAGCTACAATAAATCACTAGCTCTTCGCTTCCTGAATTTGACTCCCGGCCCTCAGTATATATTATAATTATACATTACATGAGTTGTTTAAATTAAATATACATAATTATGAGTTTTTGTCTAATAAAAAGTATTTAGTTCATATTTAAATTTCTTTATTTCTTTTAAAAAGTATACTATTTTAAAATTTATATCGGGTTAAAAGTGTTATAACTATTTGCTGATCTGACCACTAGGAGTTGTCCTGATCACATATTGTTGAGCCTGATCTAAATGGTGGATTCAACGGGAACTTCTACTTTGATGCGGGATGATATATGCAGGATAAGTTCTCCAATGTCATTGTTGCGTGATTTTGCTGGAACATGAAGGGGTGAATATCTGGAAGGCACTTCGACACTAAAATCAATGTTTATTTAATAAGTTTAAAGCATGTTTGGCTTGTTTTATTTTTAACTTCTCTTTTCCTTAAAAGCAGAAGTTTAGCCAAATGTGTTTTTATAAAAGCTTTTATTACAAGAAGTATTTTTTTATAATGAAGAAAAAAGCTAAAAGCTCTAAAGAGAAGCTTTTTTAGTATGTATGCCAGTTTTTTTTGAAGTCCTCATATTTATTTACAGTTTTACTCTTATTCTGAATTTGTATTTATAAATTTTATCCTTTATCTTAATAATCCATTCTAATAACAAATTATTTTATCTTCCCTTCTTCAAAATCTTCGAAGAACTTTATAAAATCACCAAACAATTTTTAACTTTTTTTTTAACTTTAGGAAGTATGCAAGTTCTCATCAAAGTAATAAGGCTTTACAAAAAAATACAACTATCCATCAACTAATGCAAAATATCAATCTAAAGACAATCCTATGACAATACATCATAGGAGTGTCTAACTCTGAACGTGCCTCCTTCCCTTTGAGGGTCCATCATCGACTAATAAACTACCTGAAATATGTCCCCAAAAGGGGTGAGATACATGTCTCAGTAAACTCTGGGTTCTTGGAGTATTTCTCCATCCAAGAGTTCAATTTCTACATGAAAGGTCAGATAGCATAGCATAGAAAACATCATATAATTCACAACATACATGAGACTTCCAAGAGCTTGTGTTCTTAAGGAAAGTCCATAGGCACCCTTCCAAGAGCTTGTGTCCTCAAGGAAGGTCAATACATACTCTTCCAAAGGCTTGTGTCCCCAAGAAAGGTCCATACATGCTAGTCCAATCGCTTGTGTCCCTAAGGATAATACACTTCTAATGGCTTGTATCCCCAAGGAAGGTACACACATGTAGATGTTCATTGGACAAGAACCATAAATCCATCATCACCATATACATAATGTAACATCCCGGGTGCTGGCGAAGGCGGGGAGTGATCACTGGTGCGAAAGGGCATGTACAAGGAGTGGCTCTTGACAGACTTCCAGCGGGGGGTTACATGAATGAATCGAATCGACACCTAAAAGATAGTGATTCCAAGACTGTGCAGGTATGAAACTTCACATTTTGGGATAGCTTATAAGAATTAATTGGTACTACTATATACAAACAAGATGCATCTACTTTTAGCTCGGAATGGAAGAACTCTATAGTTAAGTGTGCTTAACTTGCAGTAATTCTGGGATGGGTGACCTCCTGGGAAGTTTTTTTGGAAAGTGTGCGAGTGAAGAAAAAGCACACTGAAAAGTCTTGTGTTAGTATGTGGGGATAATCATTGATTCTTGAAGCGGCCGAGCGTTACACATAACTACATTCATCTAATCATATTAAGTATCTACATTCATCCAATCATACACACACATAACCATAATCCCATTGAACTATGTTGGAACAACCAAGAGGGAGTAAAATCTCAAGAAAATAAGGTTTGCCTCTTGTAGACCTTTCTTTTTCAAGTTTCTTCAAGTGCAAGCAATCTCTTCAAAAGTCCTTTCACACAATTAACACTTATTTCAAAGATGTTAATTCAATTAATAACATAAGTCACATAATACAACATCAAGCCAATGTTTGACTATCATCCAAAACATGAGCTTCAAAGACTTACCGTATTCTTGACAAGTCAAGAATTAAGGCATCCACCCATAGATTGGTCCAATGCTTGATCCAATACCAAGTTATCACTTGATTTCCAACTACATCATCAACAAGCATAACCATTACTACCAAACCCTATTTCAAGTCTTAAGACACAAGAAATCCAACACTTTATTCATCCTAAATTTCGAATAATACAAGGTTAGTTCAAGTGATTATTTCAACACTTTTCATCATTAAATTTGACTCCTAAACATCTTTTACAAGGCAACCAAAGTCCATTTCCATTCTCATGACTAAAATCACTAAAAATCATACTCTTCCCATGACTAAATTTTTGAAATGCCTAAGGTGATATATTCATGATTTTCCCTCAACAACACACTTGATTTTTAAGACAATACCATCCATTTTACACAAGGTTCCATCAACATTCCACACCATTACTTGAAGCACAAGAAACTACACTTTTATGACTTGATTTTCAGCCATTACACATAAGTGGTCTAAATGGTTGTTTCAACACTTTTTCACCACTAAATACAATTCCTTAATATATTTTGTGAAGGCACCAAGGTCCATTCATATCATAACATCATCAACCAAACCAAACATTATCAAACTCATACTTTTTTCAAGACCTCAGTTTCGAAATTCACGTAGTCTAAATTCTATGATTGATTCGTCATTATAAATACTCCATAATCATACTTTTTCAAAGGAACTAAGCCTAATTCAAATAACAACACAAGTTGGTCGTTATTCACCTCAAGAACACTAAATTCAAATCCTTAAAATCATTCATGAAAAGTTAAGTTTCTTACCTCTAACTCATAAAGGAAGACTAGTGAAATGGTTCTCCAAGCTTGGAAGCAACAAAAACTCCTATTCTCTTAAAAGCATTCACTTTTTTTTCCTCTCTATTCTCTTCACATGGTTCCATAGGCTCTACACATTTTTATGTGTGTGTAGGAGATAAAATTATCTCCTACAACATAAGAAACATTAATCCTATATATATATATGGTTTAACGGATGTACAGTGACTGCACCTAAGAATTAGTGCAGTCATATAAAATTACGTCATTTTATATTGTAAAAATATTAAATATGGGGAATCATAACCATATAAAAGTGTAAATAAATGTAAAGTATTAAATATGGAAAATCATAATCATACAAAGGTGAAAATAAATATAAAATTTCCATTTTCTACAATTAATTTTGAACGTAAACTCCCTTTATCCCACCCAAAACGACGTAATTTTTAGGTAACTTACAAATATTTATATGCAGTCACATTACAAATCATTTTGATATATATATATATATATATATATATATATATATATATATCACAGGATAGCGTTTGTATGGCATTTTAATAACATAAAAATTTATAGCAAAGTATGTATTTTTTAAATTTTCATAAAATTGAAAACAGTTTAATTTGTATTTTGAAAATATAAAATTTTCTTTGAAAAGATAAAAAGTCAAAAGAGATATAAATAAAAAAAATACTTATATAATTGACATATATTATTATTATTATTTTATTTTTATTTTTTAATTTTTTGATTATTTTTTAATCAATTAATATATTTTTATTGTCAATTGCTGCATTTTTTATTTAAATTTAAATGATTTAATATTAATTTTCTAAATTTAATAAATATCTACTTAATTTGAATATTTGGTGCTAAGGTGGGTGGAGACTTAATTTTATTATCCAAAATTGAATTTATTACATTATATATTTTTTTTCAATATTTTTCTCGTTGGATCCAATGTCTAAGCTTCTTCCTTTTTTTTAATGGAGAAAACAATACAATAATATATCCACAATTAGTTTTAATATATTGATTATATTGTGGTTATGGTGTAAATTTCTTAATTGTCATGGCATGATGTTCTTATTTAATTTTTTTAATGATAAGGGATGAAAGATTAGCACAGAAGGCTAAAAATGTAAAGGGCTTATTAAGTAATAGAAATTTATACAGAGCCAAAATAATTGAAATGAAGATATTGTGAAAATGAATAAAAAATATAAAACGGATGGCACTAGGATGTGCTTATCCACTATTAGCATATCTACAAGTGAGCACTTTTGGTTAAAGATTTGGTTTAAATTTCATAAGAATTTAGATTCAAACTCATTAGCTGATACGAGGACTTTGTTGATGAATGATATATAATTCTTCTCAAAAATTCTTAAAGAGGTTAGAGGTCTTCCTTGACCCTAATATGATACTGATGTCTAATCCTATTTAACAAAATAACCCATTTCCACACATGGGAATGTAATATATATATATATATATATATTTTGTGGGAAGACATAATTTTCATTATGTGCTTCTCTCTCCAATTTGGCTTCTTTGCTTTATAGATATGTGGGTAAAAAATAAATAAGCAATAAAATTTTGCAAAAGATTACGAGAAGAGAGAAGGGGAATTTGTCAAACATTTTCTCTATTTTCCATTCACCATAACGTCTTTTTATCCATATTCAAAATTACAACTTCAAAAGAAAACAAAATTGCAATTAACTTTGGGCTGCATTACCACTACTGTGCTTGAACTATTACAATAAGCCCAACTCATAATCTCCTAAAATATTTGGGCCTGCAAGTATTCTTTTCAGCCCGTATCTCCTCAATTCCACTCTGGGCTTGGCAATTAATATGAGTACTGTAATCATTTTGCATTGAAAAGAAAAACATTTTTCATGATTTATAAGTTTTCAAGTTAATTACTAAGATTATTGTAACCAGAAATAACATTATTTTCATACAAATATATATAGATGACTAATCACCTCATTTACTTAATAAACTTAAATGCCAATAATTAAAAATAAAATATGCTTCTCTATCCCGCATGCATAAGTCTACATCTAATTTAATATTATTTTAAGCTACCTAAACAATGGGACCATCATTTATTGAATATGAAAAAAAAAGTCTCTTATTTACATTATCTCTATCTTTATAATTATTTCTATCCATATCTCTCTCTTTTTTCTTCCTTTTTTTATAAAGGAATAGGTACTCACTCCACTGGAAAGAGCAACCAACTTTTGAATAATGTAGGGGTAAATTTAACAGTTGAAAAAGTTGATCAATATCAAGACATAATAAAATGCTTTTGGAATACCAAAACAACATAATAAAGATGTTGAGCCTCATAATCTAGAACCTCCAATTCATCCAATGTACCCTTCTGAGTCATAATCATATTGAGTTGTTGAAATATGAATATGATCCCAAATTTATAAACTAGTGACAGAGAAAGAGATCAAGTCATCATCAGTCATAGTCCTTGAGTATAAATCTCCTTCACTAACATAAGAAGATGATTCATCTTCACTATCCTTTTCCTTCAGTTCCTCAATCTTTGCCACTGCTTCCTTCCAATCCCACCTACTCTCAACACTCCATTCACAGCAATACATACCAATCCTCAACAGCTTCAGCATCTCACCCTCACCATTCCTTGTCCCTATGATATCTTTATCAAACACCTCACCTGTCCACTCTTCACTTATAACTGAGTTCACCCAAGTTGCCAAATCAGCATTTACACCTCTCCCATGTCTTAGATAATTTGCTGGGAACTTCCCTGTCAACAGTTCCAATATAAGGATCCCCAGACACCAAACATCAGTTTTCTCATTTGGTCTGTCAAATTGGTTCATCTCTGGGGCCTTGTAACCTGCCATGAACTGCTGAGCATGGCTCTTGTTCATCACTGGCACAAGTCCATACTCTGTCAAACGTGGCTCAAATGAATGGTCCAACATGACATTGGAGGATTTTAGATGACCATGAGGTAGGTTTTGTCCTGGGAACTCTCCATAGAGATAAGCTAAGCCCCTTGCTACTCCTCTTATAATTTTCAAACGAGTTGACCAGTTTAGCACAGAACCCTTTCTACCTGCAAATCAATGTAAAAATTGTTAATCTTCAATTTTCTTTAAAACATTAAACTGTACTCAAGTTCAAACTCTTGATTACCATGTCAATGATAATTATTCCAAAAACATAAGCTACTTTTTGTAGATATCTCTAACAAAAGTTGTCAAGATTGATGAATATGATTAATTCGATAATTGATTGAAGCCAAGTAGAGTGTATACCTATAACTATTATATTTGTTACTAATATAAAATAAAATGCTGGCATACCATGTAGATGATCAGCCAAGCTACCATTTTCACCAAAGTCATAAACCAAGAATTTCTCTTCTTTTCTGTAGTAGAATGCAACAAGAGGGAGTAGATTAGGATGTGTCAAACTTCCAAGCCTTTGCATGTGCTCAAAGAACTCATGTTTCCCAAGCCTGTTCATGTACCTAAATCTCTTCACAACTACAGTTGCTCCATTCAAAACCACAGCCTTGAAGGTGGATCCAAAACTGCCACTACCAAGAACATCAGCTGAGGCTCTAAGCATGTCTTGCAAATCAAACCCCCCTCTATCTTTCTTAACAAAGTTCAATACTTCATGATCATCGTTCGTGAAATCACCTGTAAGATCAATGGATTGTGACTCCTTGAAGCCTGCATTGTTGTTGAAATTAACCTCATGGTCCATTATGGGTTGAAGGCTTTGCCTCCTGCGCCAATGGATAAAGAGAAGTGCTACCATTGAAGCCAAGGCAACCACAGCCACCACTACAATGGCAGTTATGAGGATGCGGTGCTTCTCTCCCTTGCGTTGGGAGTTGGGCGCAGAAATGGTGGTATTGAAGTTATTGTTGCAAGGGCTGCTCATAGGTTTTCCACATAGGCCGTTGTTGCCTGTCTTGCACAAGAAAAATTAGATACAACATGCGGCTAAGATAACATCCAACAAGATGAAGAAGAAAAAGAAACAGTATCTACTATCCAATCTATAATGATATCCTCCTCCAGAAGAAAAGAAAAGAAATGCATCTAAGATAACCTTGAGGAGTTTTTGCGCATGAATGGATGATCACTGATGATTTTTACTGTAAAATGCTGATCCATATGCTGGGCCGGCGGGGGAGCTCATGGCGGAGAAAGACCACCAACCACTTTAAGGCATTAGGTGCATGAGTCCTTTCACTTATTTAGTGTGGTGCTCACTTAGTCTATTCTATCAAGACCTTGGCTTCCTATATTTTTAAATACTCGGATCACCACAGGCCAATACACCATTGGCTCTGATACCAATTGTTAGGCTGAAAGGGGGAGCTCATGGCGGAGAGAGACTACCAACCATGGACTAAGTGAGCAACAATATTAAGTGGGCTTAAACACCACAATCAAACCCAAAACATTAAGGCATTAGATGTATGAGTCCTTCCACTTATATAATACTCACTCAGTCTATTCTTAATCAATACGAGACTTAACTCACTCGCATTTGGATTCATCAATATCAGCATATACATGCATTCAATACTAGTAAGTACTAACTTTTTCTGTGTCAGCAAGTTATGCCTCTCTTTTTTATTTCATTATCCTAATTATCCTCTGAGACTTTTATTCCATTACCTTTATTATCCTTCAGTATCCCCACGAACTAACCGGGAAAGGGTATGAAACTAATCTTGAGTCATGAAAATTATCCTGCTTTAACCCAAAGGTCTTCTCAAGCATTCAAATCCCTACTTTTTGGGTTAGGAGGAAATTGTGCCTACAAAGCTTGGTGTGTGTGTATCAATTTCTTGTTTGAAAAATCTCATAGAATATTACATCAACTAGAAACAAAATATCTATTATACTTATATTTATCTTGCCCTAAATAAAATAAAAAGGGTCACTCATAACAAAATGAAATTGAGGATCAAACAAACAGAAACGATTTCAAGATTATTATACTTACCAGCAAATGAGCTAGGATCCTGGTTGCTTAAGCCTTGTGGTATTGGACCCTCCAATTGGTTGTTGGATAAATTAAACACTCTGAAATCATTTTGTTGAAATTCTGGTATGTTACCTCCAAAACTATTCCCGTGTAAGTCCAAATCCAAAACTCCAGACAAATCAGCAAGCGACTTTGGAATATGACCTGTGAACCCATTTTCGGCCAAGAATACCCTTTTAAGACTATTCATGCCCACAAAAGCATCATCCGGAATTTCACCAGAGAATTTGTTATTGGACAGGAACAATGCCCTTAACTTCACAAGCTTCTTGAATTCAGGCATTGAACCTTCAAAACTATTGTTCATCACACTAAAACTTAACAAATTTGACAATTCCAACAAGGTTTCTACGTCAACCTTCCCACTTAGTCCCATATTCTCTAGTCTCAACCCATGAAATATCTGGTTTTTGCATAACAAACCATTCCAGTTGCACAAATTTAAGTCTGTGCCCCAGTTGTCTAAAGCAGTGTCATTGGACAAGAAGCTTTTGAACCTCATCAAAATTTGACCATTTGTGTCATCACCCAATGATGGCACAAAACAAATGGCCAACATAAACAGCATGAGAAGGCAGCAATAGTATGCTCTTTTATGAGCCATTATCAATTATGGAATTTTGGCTGATGAGGAATGAAATAGAAAGAATGAAACATAAAGAAAAGAGGAGAACTATTGAGAGTTGAAAGGGATTGTGCATAGGAAATTAAGATTAAATGGTTTAAGGGGTGACATTGACAAAGTCCTAGTTGCAAAAGATGAGCTGGTTAAGGCCGGCCATGCATGAGTATTGAATTGGACCTCATTTTCGATGGCACTTTTGTTTCATAGTGCATAACTGTATATTATATCTTTGGGCTGGTTATAAGCTGTGTTTTTTTTTTCTTGTTGATGAGGAGAATTATGTCTTGTTTGCATTGGCCGTCACTTAACAATTAGTAACATTTTTATGTGACTTTTATTTTGTCTGGTGTGCTTGTTATGTTCTTAGGTTACTATGGTTGTAACTTGTATAAGCCAAGCGTTTTATGTTGGATTCTGCGCTTTCTTTAACATCATGGATGAGAACTAAGAACTTACCATTTTGCAGCATTAGTATTATCCAACGTACATACGCGAGTAACCAATCATTAGAGAATTCTTATACTATAAAAGACTATGTATCCAATCTAATCGGGCTTAAAGTTCTTGAGTTTGATTTTTGTGAGTAAGTAATTTATAAATTTTCATTGAAACTTGTTACATACCCTTAATATTTTGAGTCAATTTTCCTTTGTATACAAAACAAAATGTTAAAAAAAGGTAAAACAATGTATAATTAACAAAAACAAACTAAACATGTGACTGTCATTAGAAAAGGTTATCTCTGGCTGTGTACGTGTGCACCACCCTTCTTAACTCTGCTGACATGGATTGAACGTAGTGGCCGTAACAGACCCACGTGTTAGAGTGCAACTATTAAGTAGTGGCCTCACTTTGTACCTTGCCCCGTGATAGTGGCAAACTTCACCCCTTTATATTCAATATTCCACCTGGCCTTTGCCCAATATGAACACGTAATTGGTTACACTATAATCTCATGTACTGAATTAAATTATTTTAAGAAAGGATAATTTTCTTAATAATTTTTTGGTAAACTTTAATATATTTTTTTTCCTTTCAACTTGGAGGAGCTTGAGCATGGAGATATCATTATTCGACATCATCAAGTAACAATAATAATTTTGTAGTTACATTTCATAAACTGAACATTACTATATAGTATATGGGTTTTATAAGAGTTATGTTGTAGAAAAAATGATTGTGTAATATTATAGAGATTCGTTTTGTGTTCTGTAATTTTTCTTTTTTCTTCAAAAAGTATGGATTCCACAAAATGTTGTGTGTGTAAGAAAGTTTGTTATGTCATGTTAAATGACAAATGCAAAGCCCGTAGTATATTTGTACAAAAGAATACAATAATAATGGCATTCAAATGAAAAGGGCAACCTAAATATTTTTCTGTCCATAACACAAACGGGGATCTCATATACCTTTTATTCTCAGCTTCATACTGAAACCACTGGTAACAGCATAAAGAGAAACACCCACGAGACAAAGCAAGGTTTCTACCTTTTCCTGTGTTTCTTCTCTTACACAAGTTTTCAACTCATTTTTCTTAAACTGATATTAATATTAACTAACAACAACAAAATAAACATAAAATTTGCCTTGTTGCCTCTCACAACTCCCATTTCCTCACAAAAAAAATTGTTTTTTTTTTTCTCTCTAGCTGAAGATCCTCCATAACAAACCCAACTATGAATCCCTCCAATGACACAAGCATAGACATTGAAAACCACCCAAATGAAGAACAAGAAGACCAACCCAATGTTCCCTTGCTCCTGCGGCCATCTTATGCTAGATCAAAATCTATGATCTTCGATGAACTGAGAAACTTTCGCATAAGCCTCAAATGGTGTGCTCTTGACCACTCTTCATGCGTTGGAAAACTCATTTCCTACGTTTTGTTCATCTTCCTCGCCATCATTGTCCCTCTCCTCACATCCCTCTTCATTCAAGTACCTGCCTCTGCCCCTGAAGATGATCCCATCTCCTTCAACAAGCTAGTCCAATTACCAGAATCTGGCCTCGCCATTATTGCCTTCTTCACTCTATCCCGTTTCTTCCGAAGGTAACAAAAGTCCTTAGCATTTGCGCTTATATGCATTCTTGTGCAGAGAATTATGCATATATAAATGGCATTTATATTAGAATTATAATATTATTGCGAGAGAAGTATAAAAATTATTAACGTAACTTCACCACCTAACAGCTTAAGTTTTAATTTAATTAGTTATTTATATAGTATTAGAGCCTAGTATTAATTTTCAATGGCGGAGCCACTTGGGAGGTAGGTGGTGCCTTGGACCTAATTTTTTAAAATGGTATATATTTTCTTTAAATTTTTTGATACAATATTAGTTGGATTTTTGAAAATAATACAACCTTGACACTACATGACTGGATCTTTTGGCACTACCTTACTTTTTCCCCGGCTCCGCTACTATTAGTGTTATGGGTTCGATCCTTATCGCCCACATTTCATTAATAAATAATTAAGTGAAATTTCTTAGCTCAAGTATGTGGGTATGTGCATTATCCACCTTTTAAGTCCAATGTGCTCTCGTGTGAGGGGGCATGTTAGAAAAGTATAAAAATCATTAAGGTAGTCTCACTCAATAGCTTAAGTTTTTAGGTTGAATTGATTCTTTACATGGTATCAGAATCTCGGTGTTACGAGTTCGATCATCACCGTCCTTTATTTAATTAATAATTAATTAAGTCATGTGGCGTTTCTTAGCAGAGGTAGTGACCTGTGCATTATTCACCCTTCAAGCTCAGTGGGCTCTCGTGTAAGAGGGCACGTTAGAGATATATAAAACCATTAATGTAGCCACAACTTAAGCTTTTGTGTTGAATATTTGATTCTTTACAATTATAAAACCATTCATATATCTTCACTTAATATATTTAATAGTCCAAGTTTTTAGAAGAGTTAGTTCATGACATCATAAATCAAAGGACTGTAATGATATAAGTGTTACTTAATGAAATTTTGCATATATTGCTATAAAAATATAATATAAAATTATTAATGTAATTTTCATCTAACAACTCAAGTTTTTGAGTTAAACTAGTTTTTTTATGGTATTAGAGGGTGATCACAAATTTGATCCTCTCTGCGCTAGATTCTCCTAATAAATAATTAAATATTGTCTCTCTTACAAGTGCGTATTAAATATAGGAAAAACTTCAAAAAAAACCCTATAAGTTCCTTTAGAATCACTTACCCCCTCCTAAATTTTTTTAACCATTTACACCCCTTCTTAAAACTTTTTTAACACTTAGCCCCTCTAACTTGATTTTCCATCCAAATTAAAGTTAACGGTGTTAATCTAAAAAAAAAAACCAAAACTACCCTTGAAGAAAAGCAACACACAACACTGTACCTTACCGCTGCAATAGATAGTCATTGAGGAGTAGAGCCCTAATCTTCTGACGCTCCACCGCCCCTGCTTCTGATTAGCCGCTTATATAATTCGGGTTCTGAGAGAAACACACAGCAATCAAAGATTTGGACTGGTAAATCTCCATTCTATCTGAGTATTTGGACTGATATATATATATATATATATATATATATATATATATATATATATATATATATAGACGTTGTTACGAGTTCTTGAATCAGCGTGTATGTATATATATTGAATCAACGTCTATATATATATAAGCGTACGAGTTCTTAAATCAGCGTGTATATATATATATATATATATATATATATATATATATATATATATATATATATATATATATATATATATAGGGAAATATTAGTATATATATATATATAGGAAAATATTAGTCTCCTTTTACATGAGGTAGCTTATCTCATTTTCTCTCACTTCGATTTCCGCACCTCACTTTTTTTTTCTTTTTCTTTTTTCTTGTAATGGTGGGACCCACCTAGTTTCTCTCTACAACATAAGATATCTATCTTATGTAAAAGGAGATTAATAAAACCCATATATATATATATCATTTAGCAACGAGTTCTTGAATCTGAATCAGCAATATAACGAGTTCTTGAATTTGAATCAGCGAATAGACAATTGCTGTCCAGTTTTTCTTTTTCTTTTTTTGAGATTAATATGCTTGAAAAGAGATTTTTTTGAAGCTTGTTGTTATTTTTCCAGATTTTTTGGAAACCCATTTTTTTTTGCTGTCCAAATATGTTATCTTATGGATAATAGTTAATGAGATTGGTCCTTTAATTGATTTTTTTGCTGTCCATTTTTTTTACTTGCTGAAAATATTTACACCTTTGGTCCTTTAATTAATATATGGAAGCATTGAAATTGGTTCATCTTTGACAAACGAAAGGTGAAACATATAGTGGGCTGGAAAAAAAATTACAAGATAACAAAAAAATCCATGTTAAATGGTAGTTTTCAGTAGATCATTGACGATAGTTTGTCATCTCTTGCTAGCAATAAGGTGTCGAGGGGTTAATTCTTTTTTTTTAAGGGTAGTGTTGGTATTTTTTTAAAAGACTAACACCGTTAACTTTAATTTGGATGGAAAATCAAGTTAGGGGGTAAGTGATAAAAAAGTTTTAAGTAGGGGTGTAAATGATTAAAATTTTTGAGAAGGGAGCTAAGTGATTCTGAAGAAATTTATAGGGGATTTTTTGAAGTTTTCCCTTAAATATAAAATTGGTGTAGCCTTATTCACTCTTTACACCAAACTATTATCTAGTAAATTTCTCATGTAAATGTTTGTTTTGATTAAGAAGTATAAAAAGTATGATACAAGCCAATTGATTCGATGATATGGAAATAACAGTTGAGAACATCTTGTAAATGGATTATGTAAGCAGTAGAAAGCATGTACTTCTGAGTTGTTTCAAGTTCACAGCTTATAAGTGCATATTTGAAACATGATTAAAAATCATATATTAATATCTTTGACAATTCATTATGTCCTAACAGGTATGGCCTTAGGCAGCTTCTGTTCTTAGACGCATTGCAGGATGACACTACATATGTTAGACGCGGTTACACACGCGAGCTTGAGAAGGCATTCAGATACTTAGCATGCATAATGTTACCTTCCTTCTTTGTAGAACTTGCACATAAAATCATATTCTTCTCCGCGGTCAAAATTTCAGCACCATATATCAGCCCCGGGTTCCCTCTGAACTCAATTGTGTTTGTGTTGGTATTGGTTTCTTGGGTTTACAGAACAGTGGTGTTCTTGTTGGTGTGTGTGCTTTTCAGGCTAACCTGTGAGCTTCAGATACTGAGGTTTGAAGGGGTTCACAAACTTTTTGAAGGATGTGGATCTGATGCAGGTGTTATATTCAAAGAGCATTTGAGGATTAGAAAGCAATTATGGGTTACAAGTCATATGTATAGGTTCTTCATACTTTGGTGCTTAATTACAATTACCGTTAGTCAAGCGGGTGCTCTCTTGCTGGCTTTAGCTTCCAACTCTGATAAGACCTTCTTCAATTCTGGTGACCTTGTGGTAAGCTTTATTTTGCATTATATATATATATATATATATATATATATATATGGTAAAATCATTTTTCCGGTTGTTGGACGTCCAACAATAGATCTTACACTATTGATTGGTTATGATTTTCCGCATTTAGTACTTTTACCAACATTTGTATGATTATAATTCCTCGAATTTATTTGCTAGACGTCAAGCGACCGAAGAAAAGTAAAGACATATATATATATATATATATATATATATATATATATATATATATATATATATGAGGTAGGATCCTTTGACACCTCATCTGAGAGCCATTAGATTAAAAAGGATCAATGACTCTGATTTGTAAGCATGTGACACCGTTGATCTTTTTTGATCTAACGGCTATCAGATGAGGTGTTAAATTTCAAATTTGACACCAAAGTCAAAAGATCCTGCATATATATATATATATATACTTTCTATTAAAACTCGACTAGTGATAGTAGGAGTAAGTGTAATGCTTATATGCAGTCTTACCCTGTTTCCGAAATTTGAATTCATAATCTTTCACTCAGTAAGCAGTTCTATCACATATGTATCTGTCCACATGTGATGTTTTTTGATGGACTACTTATACTATATAAAAATTTCTCCTAACTGAGAGTGGCAATTTTGTTACGCAGATTTGTTCAGCTGTGCAGTTAAGTGGGTTCTTGTTGTGCATCCTAGGGGCAGCAAGAATCACACATAGAGCTCAAGGAATAGTGTCAATTGCCACAAGATGGCACATGCTGGTGACTAATGCGTCTGCTGAATCAGAACAACGCAAAGCTCAGATTTCTGAGGGGCTAGCCAGTGGCAGTGATTCTGATTCCTCAGATATACACATATCAGTAATCCCACAAAGACTTTCTTCTTTCCAAATCAGGCAATCTTTAGGTGAGTTTTATCTCTAGATAAAAAACTTTGTCGTGGGGTATAATTCAAGCTTATATATATAAAATGGGATAGAATATTGTATCTATATTGTTTTCTTGCTTACCTTAGCTACTCATTTTTAATACCATTGAATCAAAATCTCACTCTTTCTCTCTTCTCTTGAGATTTTGATTCAACGGTATTAAAGATGAGGAGATAAGATAATCAAAAAAAAAAATAGATAAAATAATTTATTCCAGATAGAATACATATATAAGAGGCATGTTATCTGTGCACCAAACCTTATTTTTCTTCTTTGGAGAAAAATAAATCATGTAAATAAATATTACCCAAAGTTCCTATTTGTTTAGTTTTTTACACAGATAATACACATGTTTGTGGATCATATATAAGAAATAATATATAGCTATGCATAATAATGAGTATTAGAAAGAGATATTTTTTTGGACCGAAGTTAATAATGTTACTCATTGAGCTCAAGTGAAGTTTTTATTGTGTTTGATTTTGCAGTAACATATTTACAGCACAACCATGGGGGAATAACGCTGTATGGATTTACACTTGATCGAGGATTGCTTCATACTCTGTTTGCTTTCGAGTTTTCTCTAGTGCTTTGGATTCTGAGTAAGGTAGTTGTCTTGTCCTAAGTCATAACCAAATATTCAAGTCCAGAAAAAGCCTTGCATGAACCAATGAATGTATATCAGTATATCATATGTTTGTTCCTTTTCTTTTTCTTTTTTCTTTTTTAATTACTATTTTTTAAATTACTTCCTATGTATGATGTTAATAAACAAAAGCTTTCATATGAAAGAGAGCTTCTGCACAACTTAGTAAAATTGAAACTTGGGGCCAACTATTTCACCCTTTGCTCATGGTAACACTCTATGACTATAATTTGTGTCCCAATCACAAGTTTTTCAGTTGGCAGTATAAACTAAGGTTAATGGTTTGTAATACTAATAATTTTAGAATTGAGAAAACCTCCATTCAACCTAAATTTTATTATTTTAAAAAAAATCAAAACTTCAAAGGATTACGTTTATATATAAGAGTTATAAAAAAAAAAATTGTTCATGTACCTTTTTCTTATTTTGTTCAATAATCATTATCATATTGGACATTGGTCATTGTAACAAATCGTAAAATGTTCAACTTCTTATATATTTTTTTTGTAATCTTCAACTTCTTATATTATAAATATGGGAAAAGTGTTTAGCCTTTTAAATGACATAATTTATGTCATTTGATTCTCACAAAGAGGTGTAGTCCCATAGCCGGCTCAAAGAGTCAAAGTTCGTGGAGATATCGGAGGGAGCCAACTCGTCTCAAAGAGATAATTAGGGTTGGGTAACTCCAAAAAAAAAAAAGATCCACACCTTTATTCTCTCTCTTCTTTTATCTATCTTTTTCTCTCACTTAAAATGACACAATTTTACCTTCTTACAAATATTCACTAAGCATTTGCAAATAGTCAAACTTTTGAATCACAAAAATTATTCTTCTATTTATTTTATTGTATTTGACCAAAAAATGGTCAGATCCTTCAATTAAACCACCATTCAGATTATGAGTCATCAATTTTTCAGTTCAGATTTTACAATTATGAACTATCAATTATGTATCAAATAAAAATGTATATTATCTATAGGGCCGTTACATTTACCAATCTCATTATCTTTTTTATTGTTGTTAGATTAGATTTAGATCAATAACTGCCTATTCTTTTTTCTCTCTCTTCAATCTCATTTTTTTCATCTGAATTTAATTCAACTAAAAATGATAAATTTAAGTTGATGTTGAGTATGACCGTCACATAATTTCTACGGACCTATTAAAACAAACTTGACGTAAATCAAATTTTAATTTTTAAATAGATATCACTTTTCAAATTTGATACATTAGTTTCACAATTAGTATTTTCATATATCCAATATTTAGAGTAAATAGTCTTTTGAGTCCTTGACAAAAAACACGGTTATCACTTTAGTCCCTTACAAAAAGAAATTAGTCGTCTGGTCCCTATGAAATTTAAAGTAGATCCATTTTAGTCCTTTTGAGGGACTACTGTGGATTTTTTTTGAATTTGTGAGAGACCACGATTTTAACTAAATGGGTTCATTTTGAATTTCTTAGGGACCTCGAGACTATTTTTTTTTTGTAAGGGACTAAAATGGGGACCGTGCTTTTTGTTAGGACCTAAAATGGTATTTACTCCAATATTTATGAAGCACCGACACTTCAAAAATCATGACGTGTCGTGTCTAACACTTTTTCACACTTACCGACACTTCGACACTTCCCAACACTACAATACTCGTTGTAAAGACTCAAAAAAAGTTCAAAAGTTACATTGCATTACATTTTGAGCTCCAACTATTAGATTCGTTAGATTACGATTACAATTTTATTGAGTTTAATATAAACATTTGGGATATATTATTTTTCTTTACAAAATTGATAGGTATTATAAGTTTAACTTTATTTTTTTGTTTAATTATATTGAATACTAAATATAATATACACTATATAAATTAAAAATATTATATAATATCAAAACGTGTTTTAACGTATCAAAATTTAATATTTTTAAAATTAACATATTTGAGTGTAGTATCGTATCTCCGTCGGTGTACCATAGTCGAATATGAAAGTATGCAAGTAGCGTTATTTTGGGCCACAAGAAAGTATTATTTTAATATAAATTGAAAGGTGTTAAGTCGATTAGCATTCAAGGGACTTCATGGCCCAATGGATAAGGCGCTGGTCTACGGAACCAGAGATTCTGGGTTCGATCCCCAGTGAAGTCGTTTTTTTCTTTAAAATTTGCCATCCCCAATTATATTCCTTTTCTTTTTTCTTTTCCCCAATTATATTCCTTTTCTTTTTTCTTTTTTCTTTTGTTGCAATGGTTTGCCCTCGATGAGAACACCCTTGCAATTTTATCTTTGGCCCGAAAAAGGTTTTTAGTATTCCTTTTCTATTTTCGTGTGGAAAAACATTGAAAACAGTAATAGAAATTTGTAATGAGTCGTTCAATTTGTAATAGAAAACACTGTGCTTATTAATAAACAGTGAGTGAACACAATTATAAACAGCATTCTCTGCTATCATTCACTAACAATGATAGAAAATAATTACAAAAAGCAAATTGTAATATTTTTTTTTGGTTTTTATCTTGTTTTCCAATGTTATTCTTCAGTCGACAGCCGAAGACTAATTCTTTTGAGGCAGGAGATCACATTAAGTGAGTAAATCTCTCCCAACAAAGCCTTTTCTATGAAATCGAACCCCCGTCAACATATTTAAGGAACCCAGCTATCTACCAACTGTTTGTTGGTGCAAATTGTAATATTTGTTTACACTCTACACTCTTGGAGAAGATCACATAGTTCCTTAAACCCATTTGGCATTGCGTAATAGTATAATTGCATTGAAATAGAAGTATGTAAAAGTCAAAATAATAGGGGAGGAGGAGGCCGAGGTCCATGCTTACTCTTTCTTGGATTTGTTCGTTCGTGTATTAAACACGCATTTATAAATTATTTGCCGTGAGGATTGTTTTGTATAAATTTATCCATCGTTTCCTCTACCAAAATAAAATAAAATTAAGCGTTTATATTTTTTGAACAGTAATGGAAAATTGCATTGAGCCTCTCTATTTTTTGAACAGTTTCGAGAATAACGTGAAATTTGTAGCTAGTAGATAAATTAGTCTTCTAACAATTTACTAATCATAAGAAAAGCAGAGTGAGTGAACAAAAGTATAAACAGCATTCTCCGACGCTGCATTCATTCACTAATAAGGATAGAAAACAATTATAGAAAGCAACTTGTAATGCTCAATTACACTCTTGGAGAAGATCACATAGCTGCTTAAGGGTACTTGAAAAACTTCCCAGGCTTGCTATGAGCTTGTCCCCTTGGCGTCTTGTGAATTCAGTATGATAGTCCTCTACATTCTGTGGTCCAGCTACCTTATAGTTTGCTGATTCAGAAGCAATTGCTTCAATCTCTACTGCCAGCTCTTGCAATTTCAGAGTCATTATTTCCTCATTTTCTTCCCTGCAAATTGTTATGTTTTCTACACCAGTGGGTTTTGGCCTCTCAATGCCATGGTTTTCGTGAAGCTCTACTTCAGCAAGGCTCTTCAGTGGTATCTCTATGTTACCCTTTGGAGGCTTTTCTGCAGTACATTTCAACTTAGGTTTCTCTTCTAGAAAGTCTTTCAAATACTCTTCTTCTAAATGATGATTCTCGGGCTCTTCTTCATGGCTTTCCACGGGCCTTTGTTCAAGAAAGCCTCTTTGATCCTGTTCTTCACAGAGCTTTTCTAAAGACTCCACTGGCATGCATTTCTTAGGCTTTTCTGCATGATATCTCTCAGATTTACTTCGTTGCCTTTTTCTTTTGGACCCTAATCATTAAATTCACAAAAATTCATCATTTGAAAACTCATAAGCAGTCAAGAGACAGTGGCATACAAGTTACATGGTAATGCTCCTGATTGGACAAAGATCTTAGTTTTAATAATAAAAAATGAGACGAAGAAAAAAACAAATGAAATTATATCATGTTGATCAAAACATTCCATATGCGATCATTTAATTTCCACAATCCAAGAACAGATTAAGTAAATTGGCACCAAGATTGACAAATTGGATATTACTACAGATCATGTTGAGATATATAGTCCCACATTAGTTGTATGAGCAACTAATGTGGAGTTTATAAGGCCTTGGGCACTCCCACCCTTTGAGCTAGCTTTTGGGGCGGTGTATCCCAAGGTTCTTTACATGGTATCAGAGCCTCGTGGTCCCGGGTTCAAACCCCGCCGCCCCCCACTTTCTCTTGTGGAATTTCTTAGCACAAGTAGGATGGGCTTGTTGCATCATCCACTCTTCAAGCCCAATGGGCTCTCGTGTGAGGGGACGTGTTGAGATATATAGTCTCACATTGGTTGTAAGAGCAACTAATGTGGAGTTTATAAGGCCTTGGGCACTCCCACCCTTTGAACTAGCTTTTGGAGTGTGTATCCCAAAGTTCTTTACAGATCATTTTATATTTATGCTGCCTCACAAAATCATTTAAGTGCCAAATCACTCTAGGTTTCCATGTATCGTGGTTCTTCACAATTCACAGCAAGTTTATCAATGTTTTAACCTTGAAATTATTAAAAATTTATGCCCAAATACAATTTGTAGGAACCAGACACAGTTTTTTCCTCAACTTGCACTGGCCTTGTGTTATACAGAAAGAAAAGAGAGCCGAAATTACTGTTAACTGCTCAAAATCCAATTTTTGACATGTATAATCTGGCCTCGTGTCATATAGGGTACGTCTCAATCCGCCTTTTATTGTGCCTTTATTTAATTAACGAGAAAACAATTTTTACATATTCAACTTATATAACTGCCCTAATTGTTAATTTAGGTTTATTTATTTGAAAGAAAAAAAAATGAGGACAACCACCCCAGTAACTACAATTCCTGCTTAGTAATGTCTGGTGAGAAGACACTAAACACTGATGGGCCATTAATAAATTATCCAAGTCCATTAGTTAGGAATTAGTTATATATAGATATTTAGGGTGAGGTTTCTTTATGCTCATTGTTATTTGTAATTCGGAAATTAGGAGAGGAAATAGGGATGCTGGAGTTTTTCCCCTTGTTCTTTCTATGTTTGTTATTACTTTTCAGCAATTTAATTGTATTTTTCAAAAATACCATCAGTTCTATTTGGGATCCATCAAACACCAACACCAAGTTATGCAATTATATATTTGTATAGATAAGGCTATTCATTTATTTCTCGTGGAATATTTAGAAAAATATCTCAAAATATCATCATTGTATCTAGATGATCTCTTAAGAGTGGTTTCTATATTTCATTATAGGGATTAACGTTTCTCCTCCAAAAGGAAATAACTTGGCAACTCCAAAACGATGACGTTTTGGGATTTAGAAAAATCTCCCGTGGCAAAAGGAACACTTTTCCCTTCATTATATTGGATAATTTGTTTTCTTGTTTAATTAAGATTATGAGTCTATGATAAGTATAATTAGAAGTTAGCACATTTTATTTTGTAACACATCATCACACCATATATCAATATTCTATCCTATTATTCAGAGTTTGTTTTCTCTTTTCATCATTCTCTACTTAAATCCCTGTAATTTCAACAATTTCTTTAAAGATCCCATAATTATCAGTGTTACTCATTGAGTCCACATTCTCTAGTAAGTTAGGAATTGCATGTTTAGATCTAATTTCTTTAAATTTCATAATTTGTTCTTTATTTGATTCAGTTACATAATTAGTTACGTTTCAGTTAGGTTCTATTTTTCTGTTGGTTAGCTGTTAGCTTCATCCATTCGCCAACCTATATATCATATCATTATACTCATAAACTGCACAATTCAGTTTTAGATTCAATTAAATTCAGCATCAGTAACGAAAGTGCTAACATAATCATACCAATGTGTAACAAAACAGATAACAGAGCGTACCAATTTCGACGGTGAGATCACGCGCCTCCTCATTCCCCGGTTCAGGATCGCTTTGGGGTTCAACCTCGCCTCGTTCTTCACGCGCCTTCACAACTCGATCAATCGCCTTAAACAACTCAGGGTCAAAATTCTGTGGCAACCCGAGTTTGTTAGCGTTAGCCCTAGCCCTGTGCGAGCACGTGATCTTGTCGTATTCGGAGAGCAACGCGTCCCACTTCCTCCGGCACTGGCTGAGGTTCCGACCGACGCCCAAGGCGGAGCAGTTTCCGGCTATGATGTTCCACAGCTGGTACGAGGATAAGGCTGTGGAGCAGTCGGCTTCCACCGCCGCGATCTCGTTCACCAGAATCAGCGATTCGGTTACGCTCCAATCAGGTGCGGCTTGAGATCGCGTGAGTCGACCACCACAAACTGAAACCCTATCGTTGCCGTTATCGTTCTCCTTCATCTTCAGCACCTCGGTTTGTTCCTATCTTCTAAGGAAGACGCAACCAGAAGATGCACCATTGTTGCACCCACCATGTCCAAAATCCCTCGATTCCGATTCCGATTCCTTGTGAAACGGCACCGTTTCTTAATCGGTTATTCATTTCCAAAATAAAAGTAAATAAATATAACAAAATAAAATAAAATTTGTGCATCAACAATATACGAGATTAAAGCATGATGACCATAATGATTACAAAAATGTTTATAATGAAAGAATATTGTATACTACTTTCATTTTTTATGAATTCATTGCGTTAAGTTTTTTCATGTATTTATCAACTTTTAGACATTTTGTTGGTCTTTGAGACACGAGTGTATGCTTTTCTTTTATAATATAAATTACTTTTTTTTTTTAATGCTCCATTCTTCATCATTTCAAAAATGATCATTGAATAAAAGTTGTTGGTAAATTTCTTTATTATAAGATATACGAAGTTTATTTAAAAGTAAAACATTGAGACCATTTTATTGTCAAACACATTTTAAGTATTAACTTTTAGGTTTAATGATACTAAAAACACTCATAAAAATATAACTTCTTGTATTTATTATTATTGGAGTCTAGCAAAATTTGGTTGTCAAAGTGATCAATTGATGTGATAAACACATCATTAGTTCATAATATATATAAAAAATATACAAGCTAAATACTTCATATATATATATATATATATATATATATATATATATATATATATATATATATATAGTCACTGCAATTAAGGATTGATGCAGTCATATAAAACTATATCGTTTTATAATGTGAAAATATTAAATATGAAAAATCATAACTATACAAAGACGAAAATAAATATAAAACATTAAATATATAATCATACAAATGTGAAAATAAATATAATATTTTCATTTTCTATAATTAATTCTGAACACGAATTTCTTTTATCCCAACCAAAATGATGTAATTTTTAAGTGACTGCATCAATGCTTATATGCAGTCACATTACAATTCATTTTGCCACCAACACCAACACCAAGAAAGGCAAAATGATGCATCACCACCAACACCATCCCCGCCAACACCATCACCGCGGTCACCGCCGTCACCGCCATTACCACCGTCGTCACCATCGCTGCCGCCACCGCTGCCAGCATCATCGCAACCGTGATTACCACCACTCCCACCACCGGTTCTGCCTGATGAATTCAAGAACCGTATCACAGAGTTGAACGACAGCGACATTCAATTTGTGATGAGCAAGAAACTCTTCCAGACAGATCTGACCCCGAATCACGACCGTTTATCAATGCCGATGAAAGAAATTCGTTGTGATTTCCTGACTGAGGCTGAGAAAACAACATTGGATGAGAGAGATTGCGCTGAAGGAAAACTTGTCGGAGTTGAAGTAAAGGTGTTGGATCCATCTTTTGCTGAGATCACATTGTCGTTGAAGAAGTGGAACATGACAAGCACGAGCATCTACTGTCTCGCCAAGAACTGGAAGAGTGTTGTCACCCGTAACAGTTTGCAAATAGGCGATCAGTTACAGATATGGTCTTTCAGAGTGGATGTCAAATTACATTTTGTTTTAATTAAACTCTGAAGAAATTTAGAGCATAGCCATGTTGACACTATTGTCCAGGTATGTAGGTGATATATTAGGGAATATAGGTGACAACGAAAGAATGAAAAAAAAAAATCTTTTGTTCCAGTTGAATTTTTAATAATAATAATAAAGAATTTGGTTTGTATGTTTTATTTCAAGTTGTACTTTTTTTGTAATGTAGCTGATGCAGGATTTTTTGTGATGGAGTACTAAGTGCTTGATATATTTTTATTTCTAAAAGGGTTTTTTTTTTTAAATAAAAGTTTTTTTGAGAATTTTTAAATGTTTGGATAATAAATTAAAAAAAAAACAAAATTTAAAATAAAAGTTAAAATATTGTTTTTTTAACTAGTAGTTGGTTGCTTTTGAAAAAAAGCAGAAATTAAAATATAATATATTTTTTTTGAAAATAAGATAATATAAATTTTTAAAATACAATTTTAACCTCATCCTATCCTCCCTATTTTATCTCTCCTTGTCCCACAATCATATTATTTTATCTCTTTTACTTTAATTTTATACGAGATATATTATTCTGCCTACTCTTATGTTGCCTACCCCTTTCAATATTGTTTGATTACAATCTTATATTTTAGATACATCGACAAACGTACTTTTTATTTATTTTTTATTTATTAACACATGATGGAACCCACCATGTGCTGGGTCTATGACATGAGAGGAATATCTCCTACAACATGAGATTAGATGCTCCCTATATATATATATATATATATATATATATAGGCTTTAACGTTTCTAAAGTGAATGTAGATAAGTTATCTACATTCACTCCCAAAACAACGTCGTTTTGGGTTGAAAAATTAAAAAATAATAATGAAAAAACTACGATAACCCTGAAATAAATTATAATTACGAAAATACCTTGATTTCCGTCTCAAAATGATGTCATTTTGGACTCATTGTAGATAAATTATCTACATTGACCGTATAAAAAGTGAACCCATATATATTCCCAATTTAACGAAATAGAAAAGAAATAAAACAACGGCAAAAGACTAGATTAAAGAAAAGACTATTGACAGTGGTAGAATTATGTTCATTACATTGCAAAAGTTCCCATCTATAATAGTAGTATTTGGCGTGGGAAAACTACATCCATTTTAATTCACTCCATTTTTGCAACATTAGATCTTACCAAAACAAACCCTTTTTTGTCCATATCTATTTATAACCTATATGTTTTCCAGACATAACAATACACAGCTTTTGCAATACTATAATTTCTGTGTGTTTTTAAGTAGTTGTTGCGTACTAGAAATTAATCTACCGAAGAATGTAACTCCTTGTAATCAAATTGCTCATCTCCCTTGCCTTCTGAAGCTTCAAGTTTTTCTCCCTGAGCAGGTCCATAAGCCCAACAAACAACAAGAAAGTAGAGGTAGTTAATTAAGCCTAAGAAAGTGAGCAATGCATAATAGTAATTGAGATGGCCCCTGTTAATGTTAGTTGCTAACCAGCTCTCTTTCCCTCCCATACTAGTGACCTTCTCCACAATGTTCACCAAAACACTTCCCACTACATCAGCAGCAGCTAGTTCTAGAGTGAAAAGAGCCATTGCAAAACTTGACATGCTCTTTGGGAAATAACAGTAGAAAAACTCAACCTGCCCAACTGGGTTGAAAGCCTCAGCTATTCCCAGCAAAACAAACTCTGGAACTAGCCATAAAGCTGACATGTTAATTATAGCATTAGGTTGGTACTCAAACCCTTCTTCAATGGCTACACTTCTCCTCACAGTTTCTACTATAGCTGATGTTGCTTTAGCTGCAATTACAAACAACAATCCTATCCCCATTCGAACTTTACAACTGAATCCTCTTGGCTGGCCTGTGTATTTTGCTAGTATAGGCACTACTATGCGGTCATAAATTGGAATGACTATTGATAATGTGATTACCATGATAACAGTGAAGGATCCTGCAGGCATTTTGAAATTACCAAATAACCTTCTTTCCATGGTATTTGCTTGGAGAGTGGAGAATGAGCTCTGGGAAACCATCAAAAAGATGCCCGTTGACCACATTGGAAGGACTCTCAGCAAAGCTTTCAGTGACTCCACTTGTCCTACTGTGCACAGGTTCCATGGATTTGAAACTGATCCATCTGGGTTCAAGACTCTCTCAGGATTTCTTATTATGCAAGCTTTGTTCAAAAACCTAAAAAGGAATAAGATGTTATTTCACCCTAAAAATATTCAGTTAACAAATGTAGGACAGGAACATAGATAAATGACGAAATTACTTTGCATTCCCAGAAGAGTATAATTAGGCAAAAATGAAGAAATAAGACTAACAAATTTCCTTGAACATAGATGTTCCTTGATTGGGCCTCGCAAGCCTGGATCAGTGGTAAAATTGTTCGTTTGTGACCGAAAGGTCATGGATTCGAATCCAGAAAACAACCTCTTTGCAATTATACAAAGGTAAGGCTGCATACAAGGATTGCTCTCACCTCATCCCCGCTAGTCGGGGTTTAATGAGGAGTGATTTTATAGTTAATAAATGATTGTCATATAGCCAATATATAATGATAATTGGAGATATCATTTGCTGTTTCTCACATGGAATTTGATGGGGAGAAAAGTATTTGAGAAGTGAAATTAGAGAGGAAATTAGATGCTTCGTGCAATATGCAAAGCTTATCCATGAGAGCAAGCATAATCAGTAAAGTACCTAAGGCTATCAGTGGGGACCATCGGCTCCGAATCATGGCCTTGATAATACTGATCAATGTTGTAATCAGGAAGACTAAGTTTTCTGTTCTTTATGGCCACCACTGCTACTTGTACAAAACTAGTGAGTAAGCTATGAGTTGGCTTCACTTTGACATAGTATGGTGAACCAATAGCAAAACTGAAAGCCGATAAGAACATTAGCACTGCAGGTACTCCAAACCCAATTTTCCATCCCAGATTTTCTTGAATGTACACAATTACACTCAATGCAAGAATGGTTGAAGCTCCAATTGAGGTATAATACCAATTAAAGTAGCTATCTAAGAGCCTCTCATCATTGGAATTTTCTTTAATTGCCAGTTGATCTGCTCCAAAAGCTATGGAACAAGGTCTAACACAACCGGCTCCAATGGAAATTAATCCTAAGGAAAGGAACAAAACAGCTAGTTGGGCTGCTTTAGCAGAATTGCAGACTAGACCCAGTGATTCACAGGAAGGTCTCAGCTCTGGGATCATGGCAGTTAACCACAAAATGGTTAAACCCTGTGGTAGACAAGAAATATTAGAGCACCATTCAAAAGGTAACATCAAAAGATTCATTTATCTTATGTTTTGTTATAAAGGAATGAAGCTATTATACACCCTTTGAAAGAGTAGACAAAACCAAACCATGGCTGAAGACTCTAGCCTATTGCAGCTAAAGCAATTACAAATAGAAATTAGTGGGTTTAAGCTATAGCCACAAACAAATTAACTATCTGCAAGAAGTTCAAAGGCTCTCATTTAAGTAGAAGATTATGCAACCATGTGAGTGTTTTGGTATCCTGGATTAGTTTTCCCGAAGCAATTTGTTTTTGGCATCAGCGCAAAGTTTTCCACAACTCTTTCAGTCATGATATGAAAGAAAAAGCTGACCAAGAAATATTTTCATTCCTAATTGCTCCAACCAGCAAGTTCTGATCTTTATGGGGCAGAAGTATACTTTTTAACCAAAAATAACAAATTTATAAATTTATGAATCAGGTCTGAATCTCAGAGGCAATTTTAAAAGTGTTGTTGTTATTTAACCAACACTTCCATGGTTTTAACAAAAGCCAATGCTGCTACCAAAATTTTAGTGACTGACCATACAAAATGTAAATCTCATGTGCAATTTGCTTTTTCACACAGATACAAATTGTTAACAGTTACCAACTTAAGAAAGAAAGCAGAAGCTATATCCTCCAAAGTCTAAATAACCAAATCCCCTAACAAATACAAAGGCACGCAGCATGCACCTACATTTATGAGCGAAAATTTTGTAAAATTCTGCTACTTTTCCTAATCAGTAAAGCCCAGCCAATTATATAAAAACAAATAAAGGATCATCCTTCACTACTTGAATTACCCTTAATCTTCAGCCACAAAAAAAAAAAAAACTGAACTTCAATCAATAAGCACTAGTATTTCAATGTACACAAATTGAATCAAAACTATTACTTTTTATCCCCTTTTCCAAGACCTACAGAAAAAAAATTATCCCAGGAAGTAAATACTATAAAGTTGCAACTTACAAGAAGGCTTGAAAGGGAACCAATGAAAATGACACGGAAGCGACCCAAGTAAGAATCAGAGAGGAAAGCCCCAAAGATGGCCAAGATGTTTGACATGGCTGACCAAGTGTAAAGAACATTCGTGGCCTTTGCAATAGCCATGTTATAATTATTTATCAAGTATAATATCATGTTAGGCATGATCCCATAACTTGCCACCTTCTCCAGACACTCGTTCACTGAGAAAATCCAAAAGGGTCAACAAACATAACCCAAAAAAAAAAAAAAACAACAAAAATGAATGAGATAATGGAGTACTTACCTATGATGAAGGGCATGGTCCTCAAGCCACCCTTTCTGGGTTCAGAACATGAGTAGGTACCATTTTCTAACAACTTCTCATCTGCTGCAGCAACAGCACTAGAACACTCCATTTCTTTGACAACTTAGTTTGCCTTCGATGATGTTTTTGAAAACACAAATGTTAGATAGAGTGCAAGATTATTGTATATCAAATGTAGAAACAAGAAAAAAATATCAACCGCATAGACACGTAGCCCGCAAGATATCAAAAAATAAATAGCACAGGCACGCATCTCACGAGTGGAACTTTATTAATATTTTAAGTATTTTTAAAGTCCTTGTGGTCCAAATTCGAAGGAAAATAATAAATTCACAACGAATCGTTCTTTATTAAGGGTGCCTTTCATGCATATTTAATAACAGCATTAAATAGAATAGAATTGTTGATGACTCAAAAAAGACAATTATTTTTTGTGTTTCAAGCATTGGTGGAGCGGAATTAGGATCTGGGATTGTCCTTTATGTTTATAGAAACAGGGAACTAATTTTTGTTATATAAAAAGGAATCGTCTCCTCTCAAAATTTTATATATACATATATATATATTGAGGTTATACTTATTATTATTTTTATTATTATGTTTAATTACTAATTTTATTATTATTGGAACAAAATCAAAGCAATAGTTCTCACTTGATATTATTTTATAACCATTGATCTAATTTTGATCAAACGATAATAAAATTGATAGTTACAATAAATAAATTATCTCATGCAACATAAATATAAAGACTATTATAACCCTGAAATAAATTAAAATTACAAAAATACCATGATTTCTGTCCCAAAACGACGTCGTATTGGGCTTACTACAGAAAAAGCGAACCCTTTAACAATGAGAAAAATATTTCTGCAGTTAATGCAGATAAGTTATCTGCATTTATTCCCAAAACGACATCGTTTGGGATTGAAATTTAAAAAAATATAAATATAAAGACTATTATTACCTTGAAATAAATTAAAATTACAAAAATACCATGATTTCCGCCCCAAAATGACATCGTATTGGTTGGGCTTACTACAGATAATTATCTGCAGTAACTCAAGAAAAAACGAACCATTTAACAATGGGAAAAATATTTCTGCAGTTAATGCAGATAAGTTATCTGCATTTATTCCCAAAACGACGTCATTTTGATATTGAAATTTTAAAAAATTATAAATACAAAGACTATTATAACCCTGAAATAAATTAAAATTACAAAAATACCATGATTTCCGCCCCAAAACGACGTCGTATTGGGCTTACTGCAGATAATTATCTGCAGTAACTGCAGAAAAAGCGAACCATTTAACAATAGCATATATAGAAATAGAATAGTTGTTGATTCATAAAAGACAATTTTTTGTGTTGCAAGCATTGGTGGAGTGGAATTAGGATCTGGATTGTAATTTTTAAGCACTGTTTTAAAACCTTATCCGGACCCTCGAGTCAATCTCGACTCCCTTTTTTTGAGGGTTGGGGTCAACAATCAGACCCTACATGCACGTTGGCCCCTTTGACTCCCAAAATCCGACCAGGTCTCAGTGACTCCCGGGTCAGAAGGGTTTTTTTTAAAAAAATAAAATAAATTCAAACAAAACGACGTCATTTTGTGGAAAAAAAAATCGCTACTGACCTAAATCTGAAATCCGAAAAGTGAAGAACAAAATCAAATCTTATCTTCTCTCCTAGACGTCTTCACCTCGGTGATTCCTCCTCCTCTACTCCTCTCCTTCGCGGCTCCGGCTCTTCGGTTTTCCTTCTTCGTCGCGTCATTGCCTCTCCTTCGCTATGGTGGTTCTTCTCTTCACTAATCCATTCTTTTTCTTGGTTGGTTTCTCCGCTTTGAGCATGTCTGATATTATTGTATTACTAAGCAATGGAGTTTAAACTCTTACCTTATGTATTTACTCTCATGTCAAGAAGACAATAGATAAAAAATGATGCATATTAAGATTTTTAAATTGTATCGCAACAACAGTGAATTAGGATATTGAATTGGATAAGTTATCACTGATCATGGAAGTGCCTTGTTTGTTTTCGTTGATTTGATGGTTGCGTCTCTTGCTTGTTTTTAATGTATTTTTCACTATTTTTGTTTTGATAACATTAAGGGGCGAAGCCCCAAACAAAAACAAACTAACAACCAGAAACAAAAAATAACTATCCAGGGTCTATATCCCTACAAGAGGAGATTCCCTGAAGATCGTGATCAAATAACTGAGCAAGGTGAAACGACATAACTCTATGACTCCAGAATCCAGTATCTTTGTGAAGAGCAGACTTGGCTAACCAATCAGCACAGGAATTAGCTTCTCTTGGAATATGAGAAAGCGTTACCTCCCAATCCTGACCGATGAGTGCTTGTATCTTAGCCACTATACGAGGCTGACAAGCTGCATTGCAATCAGCAAGCAAAGAGAATACTTCAGAAGCATCTCCTTCTAGTTCCACCTTCTTAAATCCCAGTTGCCAAACCAATTCCAGACCTTTTAGAGTTCCCCAAAGCTCCGCCATTAAAGGAGTGCAAGCACCAATATGATACTCAAAGCCTCCCAACCAAGAGCCATCATCAGATCTGATAATCCCACCACAAGCAGCCACCTCAATATTCCTTTCAACTGCCCCATCAATATTAATCTTCACCCAATTTAACCTTGGAGGTTTCCATAAACTCATACGAGTTGGATGAATGCTAGTAGTAGCCATAGCCTTCCTACCCATGCAGTTACGAACTTCCTCTATATACATAGCAATTATGTGCGTTCCATGGGTTGGATGCTTGAAGTTAGTATCATGGACACTTTTGTTCCTCCATCCCCATATGAACCAACAAGAGATAAAAAAGACATCACGCCAATCATCTGAATTACTTTGATTCCAAGCGTTTGAGATATTATTTTCAACCCAATCTCTAAGATCCAAGCTGTAGAATAAGCTTTGCCGATTAGCTGAAACCAGAGAATTCCAAACACTTCTAGCATGCTTACAATCTCTTAGAACATGGAGGTTTGTTTCCAACTCACCAGGACATATTTTACAATGACCAGATTCCCCACTCCATCTAGATGTGCGGTCTTTAGTAAGAAGGCGGCCATGCATTATGATCCACATACAAGATTTAACACGTTGAGGCCCATGCCATTTCCATATGGTAGTCCAAGAATTTTTCAACGGCATGAGAGGGAAACCAAGCATGTTAAAATACGCGGTTTTAACTAAAGAGCAGCCAACCTTTTGATTTCTCCAAATAATGCGGTCATTTCCATCCGATGCGCTAGGAATGAGAGCAGCTTGGATCCTTGCAACAGCTTGATCATTGAGATATTGACGAATATAGGGAAAGTTCCATTGACCAGTATTGCTGTTCACGAAGGCACTAACAGGGAGATTCAACTCCAAACCAGTTGGAGTACGAGTAGCCAGAGAGGCAAGACACTCAGTTAAACCCAACCAATTGTCTGTCCAAAATAATGCATCATTACCGTCTCCAATCTCCCATCGCATTGCTTGAAGAAAAGATGGCCAAACACTACACATATTTTTCCAGAAGTATGAGTCATATGCTTTATGATTTACTTCCCTCTGAAGATCCAAACCTCTCTTATATTTACTTGTTACAACTCGAACCCACAACGAATCGGGCGAAGTAAGTATCGTCCATGCAAGCTTGTGAAAGAAAGCCATATTTTGGACACGAAGGTTAATCACCCCTAAGCCACCCATGCTCTTAGGCTTGCAAATATTATCCCATGCAACCAGATGAGATCTCCTTTGACCATTTTTATCACCCCAAATAAAGGCACGCTGCAACTTCTCTATTTCATCACAAATGGCTACAGGAAGCAGACTGTGTTGCATTTGAAATATAGGAGTTGCTGAAATAGCAGAGTTGGAAAGTGTAATTCGACCGGCAAAAGATAAGACCTGGTTACTCCAACCAGATAACGTGTGCCGAATTCTTGCAACAACATCAGCATAATGGTCTTTGGTTACTCGACCATGTTTCATCATGGACCCAAGATATCTCCCTATATTGTGAGTTTGCTTGAAGCCACACACATTTGTGATATCATCTGCAATGTGAGCATCTGTATTTTTCGAGAAAAAAATACTAGATTTCGAAATACTAACCTTTAGGCCAGACATTGAACTAAAAGTCTCCAAGCAATCCACTATAACTTTGATTTGATCTAGAGAAGCTTCTGCAAACAACATCAAATCATCAGCAAACATCAGATGGGCTATCTTAGGACCTTTTGATCCCACGGAGATTGGCTTCCATCTCTTATTGTCAACCGCATCTTGAATGAGATGAGACAATTTTTCCATGGCTAGAACAAAAATGTAGGAAGATAAAGGATCACCCTGACGAACTCCTCTTGAAGGAAGGAAGTCACCTGCAATGGCTCCATTCCAAAGCACTGAGACCTTATCAGAGTTGATACAATTCATGATAATATTTGTGAACCAGTGTGGGATTTGAATTTCATCCAAAATTTTACGAACAAACTCCCAATTTAACATATCATAAGCCTTTTCCAAGTCGATTTTAATTGCCATGAAACATTTTCTTCCTCTCATTCTACGCATTGAATGGATCAGCTCTTGGGTGATGATGATGTTGTCCTGGATATGTTGTTTAGGAACAAAACTAGCTTGGAAGGGAGACACCATCTCTTCCATTAGGGGCTTCATTCTGTTAACCAGAATTTTACTGAGGATTTTATAAATGACATTGCACAAAGAGATTGGTCTGAGCTGCTTAGCACTTTCAGGTCTCTTTACTTTTGGAATGAGGACCAGAAGAGTCGAGTTCACAAGGTGAATCAGATTGGGATTCTGAAACATCATGTTAACATCCTTAATAACATTAGTCTTAATAAGACTCCAATTCTTATGAAAAAAGGCAGCTGGAAAACCATCTTCCCCTGGAGCTTTTGACCCATTGATACTAAAAACAGCTTTTGAAATTTCGTCATCCGAAAGATTACGAGTCAAATTAGATAGCAGATCATCGTGCAGAAGGGGCCAAGTAGTCTTTGATTTCACCCAATCACGATTAAGGACTTCCTCACTAAACAAGTTGCTATAGAAATCTGTTACCAATTGATGAAGTTGTCTAGCTTCCTTCACCCAAATCCCATCAGAATTTTTTAACTCAAGAATCCTATTCGAACTTCTTCGAGTAGCTGTTTTAATGTGATAGAATTTGGTGTTTCTATCCCCATCATTTATCCATTTCACCCTGGCTTTTTGAAACCATAAGATCTCTTCTTGTATGAGAACCGCATCAAGGTCCTTCTTAACCTCCTTTTCTCTAGATTGGAGAGATAAGTTGGTATGATAATCAACATGATTCTGAATTTCTGCAATACTATGCAATAGGTTAGTCTTCCTATTGAAAATGTTGCCAAAGACTATCTTGTTCCATCTTTTTAAATTTGGAGTCAGATCATGCAGATTCGTTCTAGTGTCTTTCACAACATTCCAGCTCCTAGCCAGAAACTGAGTAAAGTTATAATGCTCCATCCAAGCAATCTCAAAGCGAAAGGGACGATTTTTTCAACCTGTGTCCAAGTTAGACAAGTAGACCAAAATGGGACTATGATCAGAATAAATCCGTGGAAGTACCTTAACGCCAGCATCAGTAAAGGTAGTCTTCCAACTTGCATTAACACAGGCTCGGTCCAGCCTCTTAAAAACACGATCAAGATGAAGAAACTTCGGACCCTTCCATGTAAACCAAGGACCTGATCCTCCAAGATCCAGCAGCTTGCAATTATGAAGAACATTTGCAAAATTGGAACATCTGTTTAAGTTAACTCTACAGCCACCTTCTTCTCATCCCAATTTGCTATTTCATTAAAATCCCCAGCCACCAACCACGGCCCATTACAATGGAGACTAATGTTTAGCAGATCATCCCATAGCTCCTTTCTATTTTCTTCCCTAGGACTCGCATAAACTGCTGTGCAAGAAAAGGAAGGAACATGAAAATTCTGAACTTTAAAATGAATAAACTGTTTTGTGTGATTAACAATTTCACTATTTGTTAACATATGGTAATGATTGGTCATCTATAAATAAGTTTTATACTTTGATACTTTGATTAGCTTGTGTAATATTGACTTGTGGGTAATACAAATATAATTGATTGAATTATGTTAAGTATATTTTGAATCTTTGATGATTGGTGGTTTGATTTTTTTTTTAAAATTTTTCATATAGGATATATATTTATATTTTTTAATATATAAAATCAGATCAACGAAATGATTCCGTGACTCACGATTGAACCCGTGACCCTTAACCTCGGCCGAGTCGACAGGGCAGGCTGAGTTTTTAAACATGGCTTTTAAGTTTATATAAATGGGTATTATTTTTGGAATTTTGGTTATAGGGATAAAAATCGCCAATTCTCAAAATTTATAAAAGTCTTTTAGTTGTGAATATTTCTTTTAATCATATAGATAACTGAAATTTATAAAAATAATATATTTATAATTTTACCCTTCTATAAATTTTTTTTTTTTTTTTTTTTGGTATCCATTCTATAAAATTTTCTATCTCCGTCAATAATTGCACAATTTTACAATTGAGTACGAGAGAGTGACCTAATTTTATATTTTTAATTTTTTTCTCTTTTAATGTTATGAATAAAATTTCATTATAGCTAACAAAAAATTTAGAATTTTATGTTATTTCTTAAGGTTTTTTTTCTTTCAATTCTTGTATAATTTTAAAAATTAAATAAAGTAAACACCATGTCGTCCTCTGGTCTTCCAAATCATAAGTTAAAACTTAATATTTGTGTTCCTGTGATGCTGTTAAGAAATATAGATCAATTTATGCAAAGGCACTGGATTGGTAAATAGTCAATTGTGTAAACCCCATTTAAGAAGCAAAATTTATATCTAGTACAAACATTGGGCATAAGATTTTTATTCCTAGATTGACATTAACACCATGTGACATTAGAAATTCTTTTCTGATTTCAATGTAGACAATTTCCTTTATGTCAATCTTTTGCTATGACAATTATATGTTTCTTAACAAGAGTTACCAGCATGTTGGGATATGTCTCTGGAAACCAGCATTTTCTCATGGACAGCGTTATATGTTTCTATCTCAATAGTTACTAGCCCAAGTGATCTAAAGATACTGTCATACTGATTTGTGGCAAAGAATTGCAAACTTCAAACTCTACTACCAATGTGGTTTATAGAGTTATGCCCCTATATAGCGAGCTTATTTAATATAGATCGGGATTTCAAAGTCCCTGTCTTAAAATAAAATAAAAAAAGGGACGGAGTAGAAATTTAAGAAGAAGAAAAAAATTTAAGTGAAAGAAATTATTTTCTTTTTTGGAAAAAGGTGCACCTTAAAAATGGTGCACCGGTTCTACATTAGAAAAATCCCTATATAGCACTATGATGCAATAACTACGTCATTAAACATTGAAATATATAGCCCAAGTACTAATTTTTATTTTTTCTAATATATTTTTTGAAAGTGAATATATAGATATTATACCTTTCTTGCAACACAGGGTTGTAGATATTATTATTATTATTAGAATAACATCTAGTTCATATAGTACATATATATTTTTTAAATACTAACATGTATTTGAAGTTCTAATGTTCTTTGTTAACTCCAGTTTGGATTTAAACTTCTTTATCCTCTCTAAAAACTTTTAAAATCGAACTCAATATCCTTTTGAATAGATCAAATCTCGTTGAGTTGTCAAATTATTTAGATAGTATCTGTAATTTATGGGAATTACATCTCTCAATCAAATTTGTTCTCATGTTAAGAAAATAATAAGATATATAATATTAAAAAAAGTGTAGAAATTATATCTCTTAATGAATTGGTCTGTACTTTTCTTAACATGACAACAAATTTGATTCCTACAACATGACGGATATAATTCTGATAATTTATTTATTTTATATCAGTTTTCATAGTTAATTGATTTGAATTTTATTTTCTAATATTTTAATAATTAAAAAAATTATATAGATTAATCTTTTATTAAATAAAAATTAAGGAATAGATTATATTTACTCATTAAAAACTTGTTTACTTGTATTGTTTTCCATTCAAACGGAGACACTTATAAATTTCAGTTTTTGGGAGCACAGCACCTAGACCTGTGAACCCCCCTTTCTCTTCTTGTTCTTCTTCTGCAAATTTGAGTGATGGATCTCAGTGCCCCTCATTCCATGGGAACCACCATCATCGGCGTCACTTACAACGGCGGTGTTGTTCTCGGAGCCGACTCTCGAACCAGCACTGGTACGCTACATTCATTCACCTAACCCCATAATCTATGCTTTTATTTCACGGAACCAAAAATTAAATTAAACCTAAAATATTTAGGTTTTACTCCCACTAATCTTGAATACTTTCTTATATCCATTGTTAATTTATCTCACACACACACAACAATAAAAAAATAGAAAAAAAAAATTCCTTGTGGCCCAGTTGCTCATTGGGTATTTGGATGGATGAGAATAGAGGAAAAGGGAGGATTTTTAAATTTGAAGTGTTTGGGGGGTGTGTTACTGTGTTTTGAATTTCCTAGTTGTTTAGTTTGAGGTGTTGTTTGATGGTCTCTTCCAAATGCTATGATTTCAGGAGTGTATGTTGCAAACCGGGCTTCGGATAAAATCACGCAGCTCACTGATAATGTCTATGTTTGTCGCTCTGGATCGGTATTATTCTTTCTTGCTCAGGACTCGTGTGAATTTTTTTGGTTGGTTTAATTGTTCTGTGGTTATGTGGTGATTTACTGCAACAGTTGTTCTTGTCTTGGATTTCATTTTATGTTTCAAGTTTTTACCTGTTTGTGTTGTCTTATGATGCTTAATTTATGTGTCTAGTGTAACTATGCAATGTTACTCACCCTAATATAGACGTTGCTTTCATTTTTTTTTAAGTTTGCAACTATGGTGGCTGTGTTTAGTTTATTCTATTGTGGCAGTTATTTATGCAGTTAGGTTTTTAATCTGTTACTGTTAATTGCCTCTGTTTCCTGCCTCATTTCCTTAAATAATATGTTTCTATGTTTCTCCTTTTTATACATCATCTTTTTTTGTATGTTTTAACCATGTCATATTGTGCACACTGATATTTTGAACAAAATATGATTACAAAACTCTTATGCAGCATTGCTGTTCTCGGTTCGAAAATTACTTATTTGCATTCTTTTTGCAGGCTGCTGATTCTCAGATTGTTTCTGACTATGTGCGCTACTTTCTTCACCAGCACACGTAAGTGTCTTTACTCCTCCAATTTGTACTAATAGAATAGTCTTTTTTGTAAAATAAATATTTAGACTATAATTTATGTGTATTTGCAGTGATTTTTTCCTTACCACTAGCTTTTTATTTGTAAAGGATACAGCTCGGTCAACCTGCCACAGTCAAAGTTGCTGCAAACCTTGTCCGGCTTCTCTCATATAATAACAAGGTTTCACCCTAACTTTTGCTTTCTTAATTGGACAGGCAACTAGATGTAATCGAGTTTCTATCCATAATTCATGTGGCTGATCCCAGACACTACATGTTGAAGATTGTATAATATTCTTGTCAGAAAAGTCTAATATAAAACCATTAAAGTGGCCTTTACTTAATAGTTTGAGCTTTTAGGTGAGATGGTTGCTTGTAATGGTATCAGAGCCAGTGACCAAGTGATCATGAGTTCGATCCTTACTGGCCCCATTCTTCTGATAAATATTTAACTATAGAATTTCTTATAATAGGTGGGTAAGCCTGTGTATTTCCCACTCTTCAAGCTCAATGTGTGTTAGAGAAGTCTAATATAAAAATATTAAAGTGGTCTTCACTTAACAATTTGAGCTTTTAGGTGAGATGGTTGCTTGTCAATTCTTATGAAATCAAGAAATTGAAGTTTGCATTAGATTTTAAAATAATTATCTGGCCTTTCTTGCTTTTATTTTAGTTCAAGGATTTTACTTAATCTACTCCAAGGAAGATATTTGAGCTAAGTTTTATTCTTTGGTACTACTCTTATAATTTAGAGAGGAAGGAATGCTTTATCATGTGCCTCATATAATCTGTAGTTACACTTGTATGTGATAAGCCCTTTATTACCAAAGTGTATGAGAGAAGGTCCAAGAAAGTAAGCAACAGAATGTCGTCTCACATGGGTAAAGAGGGGGTGAGAGGGGAATTTTGGGGAATATTCATGCAGTGAGAGTGCACTGTAACAGAATTGATGAGTTGGTGCAGAGAGAAGGCAAAAAGGTTTTGACCAGTGGGGTGGACAAAGGGGCTAATTCAGACGAGAAAGGTCACTGTCAGACTATTTGAATTGTGCTAATACTAATTCATTTTTGGCTATTAGTTTAATACCTATAAGTATAGTCCATTTAAAATTAGATTTTATTTTTTGGTTATTGACCTGAGTGGAATCTAGCAATGCTATAATTTCCAAAGCAATGAGCATCTGGGGCAACAGAAGTGTGAAAAAAAAAAAAACTGGTTTAATGATATTAAGTTAGCCTGACGGATGGATATTCTTGTAGTCTTACCTTCTGCTTTATTTTTTTCATATGTTCAGCCATTTTATGTAGTTGGCTTTAACTCTCATTGGCAGAATTTCTTAGAGACTGGCTTAATTATTGGTGGATGGGACAAATATGAAGGTGGTCAAATTTTTGGAGTTCCACTTGGTGGAACAATAGTACAGCAACCTTTTGCTATTGGAGGTATTTTATAGTTAAAATATGTCGGTGAATGCAATTTCTATTGTGCGTGAATGTTCAGTTATATACTTGTTATATTGCTTGTATCATGTGTATAATTTATTAGTTGATATCAGGATTTGATTGGTAGATCTATCATAGTTTCCAAGAGGCAATTACGATGGGTTAACCCCTTGCAAAATCTAATTTTGGTTGTCTATAGACTTGTAGATTTGGAAGATGTAAAATATCCATTGCCAAAACTAATCTAGATTGTCTATATATATATTTTAATAATCTTTCATTGCTAGTCTGTTGGCCTTTTCCATGGAATGCATGCCTTTTTGTTTATGGAGCTATGGTCTATTTGATTTGTGTTTCCAGGATCTGGCTCTAGTTACTTGTATGGTTTTTTTGACCAAGCCTGGAAAGAAGGAATGTCCAAGGATGAAGCTGAGGTATGGATCTTGATTCATCCTAGTGCCTTCCCGAAGTTAAAAATAATGCCTTCAGTGCAAATAGATTGTTGTTGGTACTAGTTTTTTGGAGGACTGGTTTTTCATGTTAATGGCTGAAAATTGAGAAGCTATTAGAAAATTTGACAAGAACTTTTTTAGGTGAAATTTAGGTCTTAAGCCTGATTGGTGATTGCTGATAGTATATTTGATGTTCTTTGGCAGGATTTAGTAAAAAAGGCAGTTTCACTGGCTATAGCTCGTGATGGTGCAAGTGGTGGTGTTGTCCGAACAGTCATAGTAAGACGAATTCATCCCTGATTCGTGCTCTTGAAATTCAGGTTTTGTTTTAAGTATGCACAATAATTTGAAACCTCTTGATTTTCCCTTTCTTTTAGATAAACTCAGAGGGAGTGACCAGGAATTTCTATCCTGGGGATCAACTTCCCTTATGGCATGAGGAACTCGAGCCTCAGAATTCATTGCTAGACATTCTTGGTGCCCCTGAACCAATGAACATTTGAAGAAGTTGCTGTTTTCAAGAATCTTGCGGACTAGATTATATCTTGTCATGTCTTTTCTGAACCAGTTTAATCGTTTGTGTAACCTAGTAATTTGTCTGATTAGATTTTTTTAATCCTTTTAATCATGTTGTTTTCTCATGTTATCAGCCATAGAAAATCTTTATTCATCATATGGCCTACAAGCAACACATACTGTGTGAAGTATACAAAGTAATTATCGCTCATTTCAATTTTTTCATTTTGATATTAGTACTTAATAGTACAAAATACAAAGTCCTAATAGTACATTTCAATCTTTAAACTGATAAGCCGTTGAATTAGACCGAACCGAATCAACCTTTTGAGACTGGTTTAGTTTGGGTAGGTTTCGCATGTAATTGATTATTGAATATGTGCTTTTCCTGTTATACATCATTGGAAAAATAGTGGGGTCTTACTTCCTGTTTCTTTAGTCTATTTGATGTAAACTAGTTGGAACTAGATGTTTTATTTGAATTTGAAGATATTTTAAATAAAATTTTGGTCATTGTACTGTTATTAGAAACGTGAAAGCTTTATAGGGGTGGGCTCATTAATGAGTGGTTTGGGTAAGGTTTGAATTCTTCCCTCCCAACACTTCTAAATTAATACGACCCACTTATGTATTGGTAAACATGTGGATAGATAGAATGGGTGAAAATAAGATAGAATTAATCTGTTAAAAAAAACTGTCATAGAAATGTCGTCTCTCAGATATATTTGTTATCAACTAACGTTAGTGATTTATTTTATCAATTAAGTATATGAAAGTTTAAATCTTCAACAAATTAGTCTGCGTCCATTTTAATTTCACATTGTGAATGGAAAACTGGCATGCCTTGAGTGTACCATTTGAATATCACATGGTTGTTAATTTTCGAATATTGGAATTTAATGCTAGTATTATTAAAATATTATAATACTAGAATATTATTGTGTTATCTCAGCTTTTATTAAACTTCAATCCACGAAGGGACTAAATTAATGAAATTTGCGGGATTAAATTTGTCAAATAATCTCTAAAAGACTAAATTGATAACGAATATGGGTTTTCATGTAAAAGGGATATTTTATTCTTTAATATAACGAGCAATTAAATAATTATATCTTAATTGGTTGTATTTATGTTTCCCAGCAAAATTTTCTTGATACTTTAGGGGCCCTGCTGGGGGAGAATTCGAACTAACTGCATCTTTCGCTTAATTACATCCCAAATAAGAATCTGCCTAAATTTTTATTATTAAAATTTCAATCTCCACATCTTGTTTCTATTTAACTTAATTAGAACCGTAATTCGAAGTGATGTAAACAATGCTTTTCGTAAATAGCACCAGATACATGTAACTTACCATATTCTTTAGCACATTTTGTACCACTCTTAAGTTGGTGATAATTAGTTCAACTTGATTTAAAAATTTTACGAGTGTAATTCTAGGGATTAGAGTGTTAAAAGTGTTAATGAGATTCCAAATAACTTGGCTTTGATTGATGCTTTCATTCTTACAGCTTTACCCTGTATTTTAACATTAATGAATGGGGTATCTTTAGTTCAAGCTTCACTTTGTCCTTGCCAGAAAAATCCATTTTTTTCAGTAGCCATTTATAATGGAGGAGAGTTGTTGCTAAACCGATAAGTGGAATCAAACTAATTTTAATAGATTCCTGAATATGCAGTTGCTTCGAAATTTCTTTCTCGGACATTAAACAAATGATTGTGTCATCTGTATCCTTTTGCTGTGGCCACACAACCTAGTGGATGACACAATTTTAAAAGGATTCTTGTCATTCAGATATCTAACACTTATATGAGAAGAAGCAAGGTTGCTAAATGAATTGCATAACAACCACTTATAACTTGAATTATTGGCTAGCTGCTTTATTCTTTCTCAATAGTTGCAAGATGAGGTAGTACCCTATACCCTCGAAGGACTATCTAAAATGTTAAGTTGTGTACATCAGTTCCTTACTATTACAGTATTACTATTGAAATGAATTAAGATCCTTTCTATTTCCAGGAAGGGAAAGCTACAGCTTGGTACCTTTAAAAGTTCTAAACTTAACTGCTAATGCATCATAACTGCAGAATTACTGATCCTGATTATATTCCTAAGCAAAACAACAATGATGAGCCAGAATTAGGGACTTCAAAAAACTACTCATCATGTTACCCCCAAAAAAAAGTATTCATCAACGAATAGCATAAGGTTAAGCTGTTTAGTTACTTAGCATAAAAATTGGAGGATGCAAACTAGTAGAAAAAAGGTGGAAACAGTTGGCAGTTGCATGACAAAAAATACGGCTAACTTGGTATTTTGTAATACCTCTAATGACGAGTCAACCGTAAAGCAAATCAGACTCTGACTATAAGTTAAAAAAAGAAAAAAAGAAAAGAAAAACTTGAATACACAGATGAAGTGAAAATTAGCCATGCTATTCATCATGCTTTATTTGCTTCTCTTCTTTAGGTTACACTACAATCCATCTTTCTTATTTGGTTTCAGTCAATCCATAAGGTATCCCATGTTAGAAGTAGTACTATGCATGTTGCATGATTGAGAAAACTAAGTGATCAAATCATCTCTATTTCCGCAGAGGGACTTACCGAGTTAGCTTTAATAGAACTCAACATTTCATTAATGTTCCTGATGGAATACAGGCAAAAAAATTATAATATTATTATTTTAATAAATAATTACGAATACATAGCTATTTCGAAATTATCTACGAATTTATTGCACTCATTCACGCCCAAATTAAACGTGACTATTCACGCCCAAATTAGGCGTGACTCCCAAGGCATTCACGCCCAAATTAGGCGTGACTCGTTTGGTGTTGACACGTGGCACAAAAAATTAATAGTTTAACCGTACAACTTTATAAGGCTATAACTTTTGACTCGGGTATTCGAATGAGGTAATTCTTTTTTTGATTCCACACAACTTTTTGAGATCTACGCAATGACATCTCATTTGATATATTTTATCTCTCACAAACACAATTCAAATTTGCAACAATAATACTATAAAGATGGCACCAAAGTGGATTAACTCATCTATAAATAAGATGGCACCAAATTTTTTATTAAATACAAAACGCAATCAGCTCCTATTAAATACAAAACGCAATCAACTCCTATAACATTAAATTCAAAATTCAAATAACCTCCAGTAAATTTATTTGAATTGGCGACAATCTGTAACCAACTCATAAAATTACAATGCAATCAGCTCCTATTAAATACAAAACACAATCAACTCCTATTAAATACAAAATGCAATCAACTTATTGGAGGTTATTTGAATTTTGAATTTAATGTTATAGTACCATTATTGGCGTGAATGAGTGCAATATATTCGTAATTAGGTTCAAAACGACAACTTATTCGTAATTAATTATTAAAATATATACAAATTTATATAATATTCTACCAAGTGTTTAGAATATTTATTTAATTATTTTATTTATTAATACAGATTTTTCAAATTGATTTTTGAGTTTAAACCATAAATTAAATCTTTATTTTGTTTTTCTTATTAATAATATTTTTTTAATTTTTTTTGGTAATACACTATATAATACAATTATTGCAAATTTGAATTGTGTTTGTGAGAGATAAAATATATCAAAGAGATTCATTGCGTAAATCTCGAAAAGTTATGTGGAATCAAAAAAAGAATTACCTCATTCGGATATCCGAGTCAAAAGTTATGCCTTTCTAAAGTTTTATGATTCGTAAGTTGACTTTTTTTGCCACGTGTCAACATCAGATGATTAACGTCTAAATTAGGTGTGAATATCTTGGGAGTCACGTCTAATTTGAGCGTGAATAGTCACGCTTAATTTGGACGTGAATGAGTGCAATAAATTCATAGATAATTTCAAAACAACTATGTATTCATAATTATTTATTAAAATAATAATATTTTAATTTTTTTTTTGCCATGCAATACACCTTCATCTTCACAACATATAAAAGGACTTACCGAGTCCTTTCAGAATTGTAGTTAAAGATATGTAACACTAATTTTGAAGTGTGAAATTTAGATGTGTTTCGTTATGTTAATTTCCGTGGGCTAAAATTATTTAATGAAGAAATTTCTTGCACATGGCATAGGTTTAAGGAAAAGTTAACAATTCCATCTTGTCTCCATTTGCTTAGCTTTCTGTACCCATGCTCTCCTTCTCAAGTTAATCTTAATTAAGCTAAAACAGTCGACTAGCTAACTAGGTCCCACTCTGATAAATTTAATCACAAAAGACAATTAATATATGACCAAAAAGACAAAAATGACACGTCTCTCTCTCTATATATATACATATATAAATTAAAGCCGGTGTAAGAATTCCTTTAATGCAAGTTGTTCAATGTTCTTGACCACCCAGAAAATAATATAGTATGCATCTGATCCGACAAAGCAATGGCACTCCTCTGACCTAATTCTGTTAATTCGCTGCCTCCCATTTTTTCCTTAAACCAATCCAGCTTCTTCTAATGGTCAAACAAGTATTTTAAAAATCGACTCGCCAGATCGACTCGGATCTCGATGATTCTGTGAATTTCTTGGTCTGAGCTATCATTGTACCGATTCTACAGTTAACCTGATTTGGATTGGTTGACTTGACCGAGATCCAGTGACCCGATTGACCCGGGTTAGATCGGTTGACCCTCCCTTTTTTTGGTAATTTTTTTTTATTGATGAAAACTCTTGAATTAAATCATATTTATATTTTGTGATAAGTATGATTAAAAAATAAGGTGATAATAAGAAGGTATTTTGGATTAGTGCAGTTCGTTTATGTAATTTAGTTGCATCTTATAATGATCTCAAGAAGTTAAGTGGGGATAAACTCTGATGGTCTCATTTCAACGGTAGACACTTTCTCCTTAGTGTATATTTCATGCCTACTGTTTGTTATCATGATTTAATTTATCTATGTTATGTCAAGGCACAAAAGGTGCATTTAGCTTACATTGTAATTTTAATCCAAGAGTAAATGCACAAAATGTGCATTTAGCTTACATTGTAATTTATCTATGTTATGTCAAGGCACAAAAGGTGCATGTAGTGTTAAGGACCAAATAGGGCCTCGATAAATTTGTCAGGGACCAAATAGGGTCTTCGATGCTAAGGTCAGCTGTCCAAAACTC